CATCGTGAATTCTTGGTAATCTGAATATTTCCATGTTGAATGTTATCCATCTGGCATATTGCCATTAGACTGCAGTGGCAACGAAGATAAATTGATATTGATTACCAACAACTCAAAATCGATGTTTTTTTTTGTTTATTTTTTTGTACTTAGGATCAATAGATCCTAAATAGAAGACAAGAAACGTCGAAAAAAAATTTCAGCTTCATGCTTTCAAACACCGTTATTTTCTAAATAGTTAATAATTATAAATAAAATACAGAGTAAAACCTGTGTCGGAATGCACTCGATTTTTTAAATTTTATTACAGTAAACAAACCTTAAAAAATTGTTTAATAATTTAATTTTGTAATATTTTTAGATTTTTACAATATTCTGGAACTAATTATTTTTGTTATTTTTATTACTATTATTATTCGACAATTAATTAAAAATACGCTAGTAAAATATAGTGTTCGAGTTACAAAACTTTTGACAAAAATATTTCAAAAATTTCCAAACTCTAAAGAACAGTATTTCGACTTTAATAATTTTTACTAAAATTATCCGGAATATTTTACACACTTTGCTCTTAAAAATATTTCTGAAAATTCTAACAGAAACCTGATAATATAGTTTAAAACTTCTCTATTTAATAATTTTCCTGAAAAATTCTCTGAATATTTTACACTTTTCTCTGAAAATGCCAGGAATCAAAATTCTTCCAAAATAAAATCCAAAGTTTCATAAAAAAGAAAAGGATCAAATTTAGAAACGTAAATAAAAAAATTCCAACAAAATTTCTTTTGTAATTAAAAACTTTGCAACATTTGAAAATACAGTCAATTTTTTTTTCTTTTTTTTTTACTTTATAAAGACAACAAAAAATATATATGTGTACTTTTTAACGGTGCAACTAAGCGAAACAGTTTCGAAAAACATGGCAACTTTGATGAGGGTCAGGGAAAATATTAGCGAAATTCCAACGCGGAACGAAATGAGCTTTAAACTAGAGTTTCACTGTAAATTAACCCCTTCGCGTATAAGGGTTAAAATAACACTATATTTTCATTTTACGATCTATTTGGAAGGCAAGTGAGCGCGTTGAAAATCGTTGTGGCTAAATAAGCACTGTGAAAACGATTGATACTGATTTTAAATGCGTATCAATTGAATATATTTATATACGTTTGAATCGAAAATTGGAAAATTTTCTTCTCTGCATTTCAAAAGCATTGCTTTTATTTTTAATAAACAAAAAAAAAAATATTATAATTGACTCTTTGTCACCAACAGTCTTTTGACTGTTGAATTTTATTTTCAATAAACAAAATAACAAACATGTGCAAAATAATAAATGTGAGAACAATAAAATATAAGAATAATAAATATAAAAATAATAGAAACAAAAAATAAATATTATTTTATTATTATTTATTTTTATTTATTATTATTATTTTTTTTATTATATTCTTAATATATAATATTATTTATTCACAATATTATTTTTTATTATTTATTATTGTTTATTATTATTTATTATTATTTATTATTTATCATTAAGTATTTAGATATTATTTACTGTTTTTATAAACAATAAATATAAGAATAATAATTTTTAATAAAAAAATAAGTCCAATAATATTTTTTTTCGAAAACCTTCTATAATTATAGTAGCGTTACCTACTTTTTCTAAAAAGTAGAATATTTATGCATCGTTCAGGTTGAATGACTCGAAAAATATAATATGGGATTTAAAATGGAATCTCAAGCGAAAATGCTTCTTGCAGTTTCAGCAAACAGCACACACACATTCATACACACACACACACAAGAAAATAACAGTTATTGACGGTTCAGTAAAAAAAAATTTTTACCGCAGCTAACGCGTGACCATTCGCCACAAAACTATTTTACGAAAAGAAGTTTCGTTTCATCTTTGATTGCTAACAAAAAAATGACATAAAAGAAGAATTCGACAAACAATCGGTAGCAAAAGTTACAACAATTCCATTATTTCCTATTTTAGATGAAAAGAACGAATTAAATATTAAATTCTTTTCAGTGGAAAGGTAATGAAACTTAATTTGAACAATTAATTAATTTTCAATTTATTACATACATTAAAAGTTTTATTTGAATAAAAAAAAATACAATTTGTTTCAATAAGTTTTTACTTTGGTAAATAAATTCAAAATTTTAACAAAATTTATCAAAACAGAAACAAAATTCAAAAAATTTTATGAAAACAGAAATAAAATTTGATAAATTTAAGCAAATTGCGAAGTAGATACAAAAATTAACAATAACGTTTCTTAATGACAAAATTGTAATTTTTATTCAAATGAAAATATTTACATGTTGAAAATTAAATTCCACCAAAAAGAGAATTTCAAGTTTAATTTGTTTTTTTATTTTTAAATACAAATTTATGGCTTTAGAGTAATTTTACATCTTGACTGTCCATCAGATTCCTCTTTAAATAATTTCCTAAAGTTTAACGACAATTTTCAAAGAATCTGTAAAAAAAAAATAATTTTCCTAAACTTTTGAACGAAATTTGTTTCTATTTAAATATTTTTCAAAATTATTATGCAAGAAAGAAAAACAATTAAAATTAAATTTTTACGGTACTTAAAAATCAATTTTTTGATACAAAAAAATAATTTTTTTCATAAAAAAAATACAAATTAAAATCAGTTGAAAAAAGTCGTTCGTTTGAACGTTCGAAACTTTAGGAACAAAAAAAATAACAGTAGAAATTTATACACAAAAATTGAACAAATTAAAAAAAAATTTATGAATTATTTCTAGAAATTCCTACTATAACTCTTTCAGAATTCAATTATTTTCTCGCATTTTTAACTAAAATTCTTCTCTAAATCAATTATTTTCAATAATTTTGAGAAAGTTTTTTCAAAATTCAATTATTTAATTATTAAACACGTAAAAAAGAAAGTTCACTTAAAAAACGTCAAAAATTTATTTATTTTCAATTCAATTTTACAAAAATTCGATTATTCGAATATTTTTCAAAATTTTCAAACCATTTGAAATTTAATTCTTTTGAAAAATTTCTATTGCAACTCTTTCAATATTCAATTATTTTTTTGAGTTTTGAGCTATAATTCTTTTCTAAATAAATTATTTTTTATAATTTGTAGAAAATTCTTCAAGAATTAAATTATTCAATTTTTAAAAATGTAAAAATAAAGAAAATAATTTTATTATAAAATTGTTTTTGAAAATAATTAAATTCCTACGAAAAATTGTACTATTTATAAAAATAATTGAGTTTTTCTAAAAATATCTATGTTATAATTCAATTTTAAAAAATCTAAAAACAATTTAAAATACAAATTTTTCAAAAAATTAAACTTTTTCAAAATTTTTAATTACATTTGCAATTTAAAATTCAAATTTCTGTAAAATTTAAATTTGAAACCTTTTGAAATTCAATTATTCATAAAAGATGTAAACCCAATTCTTCTAAAATTTAATTATTTGTGAACCTTCTTAAGAAAAATTATTCTTTAAATAATTTATAAAGTTATTTCAAAGAATAAAAATAAACGAAAAAAAAAATTTTCTAAATTTTTCTAAATAAAATTAGCAATTTTAAAAATAATAGAATTTAAAAATTTTCAAATTTAAATTTTTGTTGAAAACACTAAAAAATTTAATTTTTGAGAAATTATAAATAATTGCAGAAATTCAATTATTTTTTTAAAAAAATTAAATTCTTCTTATAAAATTCAACTATGTTCAAAATTTGAAAAAAAATTCTTGTAAAAATCTCAATTATCTTTATAAATAACAAAATTCTTCTCCAAAGTTCAATTATTTTCATAAATGTCAAAAAAAATTTCGTCCTAATTTCAATTATTTTCAAAAATAAAATGCATTTTTCTAATTTCAATGATTTTCAATATCTACTATTTTAATAAAATGTCCCAAAAAGAATTCAATTATTTAAAAACAATTTTAATAAAATCGTATGCAAACATTTAATTATTTTCATAAATAATCAAAATTTCACAGGAATTCAATTATTTTCATAAATAAATAAATTTTTTTTAAGGAATTCAATTATTTTCATAAATAATAAATTTTTTTTAAGGAATTCAATTATTTTCATAAATAATAAATTTTTTTTAAGGAATTCAATTATTATTTTCATAAAAAATAATTTAAAATTCTAGAAAATAATAATTGAATTAAAATGATAAAAATAATGTTGATGAAGTTACAGTAACAATATTCTTATAATAAAAAATAATGATTTTATCTCTCGGTCATCTTTAATTATTAAAAAACATGAAGAAATCGATCACTCCGAGTCTTCGACTCCGAGCAATCGATATCTTCATGTTTTATAACAAAATACTTTTATAAGTTCTTTAATTTAAAAAAAGTTTGAATTCGAAAAATTTCAATGTCTTAATTCCTGTGGAAAATCCTGTTCCACAAATAAGATTAAAAATAGGAATATTGTGCAAATATTTTTCTTCTTTTTCTAAAACAAAATAATAATTTTGTTAAAAAAAATTGTGATTCATAAACAAAAATAATACAAAATAAATAAATTTTTATATTAGAAAATTTATTTATTTTGATTAAAAAATATTTAATCACAGTTGTTTAACAATAATTTTCTAATTTTGTTTAGAAGTAAAGAACAAAAATCTGCATAATTTCAATTTGACAAAACATAATATTTAACAAAATTTTAGTCTTTTTATGAAGAGAATTAATTAATTAATTTTCTAATGAATTCTAGAAATTTAATATTTTAATATTTTTTAATATTTTTAATATTTTTTTAATATTTTTTTATATTTTTAATTTTGATGAAATTCTCTGACTTTACTCAAAATTTCCTGACTTGTGGTAACCCTGTAATTAACTAATAATAAAAATAAATAATAAAAATAAATATTAAAAAAAAAATAATCCAATTTTCAATAATAAAAAAGGGGTAAATATTTACAAACACTAATAAATATCTTATCAATTTTCAGAAGCAGACGTTGCAGGCAACAAAGCGACAAGAGGTCAAGCGGAATTTTACCACTCTCTAGGACTTTCATCGACGACCAATTGCAAAATGGTAGCGTCAACTAATAATTTAGAGGATCTTGGAATCACTCATCCATCGAGTGCAAGCACCGATACTCGTCAACAGCAACAACAACAACAACAACAACAGCAACAAACTCATGCTTGCAGATCAGTTCCAACAGCGCAGGACAAACGCAGTCGACTCAGTAATGTGATAAATAATCTCAGAAAAAAAGTACCTGAGACTAAATGTGAGTCATCAACCTGCACGAAGGAAGACGATCGAAATTCTGTTGAACGAAATTTAGAAACACTCGAAAAATACGTAATGACTGTACTAAACGAAGTAATAAAAGACGAAGAGGAAAAAGAGCGAGAAACAACAACTCTCGTCGAGAAATTCACCTCATCATCAAACGAAGAGGAAAGCAATAACACAAATGGTTCGCCGGTCAAAAAAGGAGACAATTCCAAAGACTGTGAAAATAGACTCGTCGAACCATTTACACCCATAAGTGAAAAGCTATTTAACAAAGGGACCAATGAAAATCAAGAGTCCAACAGGGATTCAACCAAAATTCAAAAAAACACCTCTACCCCAAAGGATGAACAATCCGAGGAGGAGAAAAAATTCCCCAATAAAGAAGAACACCGAACACTTGGTGCAATCATAATGGAAAGGTTAACCGATCCAGAGACAACAAAAACACCCCAAGAAGAGTCTCGGAATAATGTTTGCCGTGAACTTTTGGACGATCTTCTAAACGACGTTCTCCAAACAGTTCAGAAAAATGTTGACACAAAAATTGATGTTAATGCTAAGGATAATAAAAAAATTGAGAATTTACCCACAAGTCTTCATTGTAGTTTACCATTAGAGAAGGTTGCATCTGTACTTCAAACTTGTCAAACGCAAGATGTCGAAAATTCCCCACCGATTAAGACAAGCACTAAAGTAACATCGCCGACAGTTCGTCATCTTTGTCTCTATTGTGATCGTAAATTCTCATCAATTTCGCTGAGACAAAGGCACACTGAACGTGTACATCAATTTAAGGGTGGAAGACGTTCGGAGAGAAATTCACGAAAACCATCGCAAAACTGCCAGTACTGCTCGGAAAAAACTGTCGACAATTTGGATACACTTTTTCAACATATGATTGGAATGCACGGCGATAAATATCACGCGTGTCTTCAATGTGTCACTCGATATCTATCAAAAGAGGCTCTCACCAATCATATAAACGAGGTTCACAATAGGACCACTACAACACAACAGGTGAGTTTTGTTTTTTCATACTTTGGATATTAGGATACTTTTCGATTTTTTCGACAACTTCAGGGATCACAATAATTTTTTCATGTAATATTAGCTAAAAATAATTCCTTAAAAAAGGGAATTTTCATTTTTATCAAGGGATTCATATTAAAACAAGGAATTTTTAGAGTTTCATACACGAAACCAATAGAAATTATTTATCAAAATATTTGAAAATAATTGAATTTCTTTCAAGGATTTTATGACAATTTTTGAAAATAAATAATTGGAGTCCTTCGAAGAATTTTATTAAAATTCTATTGAAAATAATTGAATTCTTGAGAAGAATTTTATTATTTAGAAAAATAATTGAATTGCTTTAAAGAATTTTAGGAAATTGAAATCTTTCGAAAAAAATTTTTAAAATAATTGAATCTTTTCGTGAAATTTGATTAAAATTGTATTGAAAATAATTGAATTCTTGAGAAGAATTTTATTATTCATAAAAATAATTGAATTGCTTTAGAGAATTTTATCAAAATTTTAGGAAATAATTGAAATTTTCGAAAAAATTTTTTAAAATAATTGAATCTTTTCGTGAAATTTGATTAAAATTGTATTGAAAATAATTGAATTGTTTCGAAGAATTTTATTTTGAGTTTCTAAAATAATCATATTTATTAATAACTATAATTAATAATTTTATTAAACATCTTAAAAATATTTTTTTCAGAATTTTAATTAAAAATTTTGCAAATAATTGAAAATTACAAAGAATTTTATCAAAACTTTTGAGAATAATAATAAATAATTAAATTTTTTAAAATAATTTTATTACAATTTTTAAAAATAATTGAACCCATCCCAGAAATTTTATTAAAATTATATTAAAAATAATTGAATTTCTGAGAAGATGAATTTTATTATTTATAAAAATAGTTAAATTGTTTTGAAGAATTTTATCAAAATTTTAGGAAATACTTGAATTCTTTCGAAAAAATTTTTAAAATAATTGAATCCATTCCAAAAATTTTATTAAAATTGTATTGAAAATACTTAAATTCCTGAGAAGAATTTTATCAGAATTTTAGAAAATAATTCAATTATTACGAAATTTTTTTTTTTAAATAATTCAATCCTTCTGTGAAATTTTATTAAAATTGTTTTGAAAATAATTGAATTCCCGCGAAAAATTTTACTATTTATATAAATAATTGAATTTTTCTGAAAAATGTAATTCAATTTTACAAAATTTCAAACAATTTGAAATAAAAATTTTTCAAAATTACAATGTATAAAATTGTAATTTAAAATTCAAATTTTCTGTCAAATTTCAATTTAAAACCTTTCGAAATTAAATTATTTATGGAAATTGTAAACGCGACTCTTCTAAAATTCAACTATTTTTGGAAATTTGAACTAAATTTCTTCTCTAAATCAATTATTTTTAATAAATTTTGAGAATTAAATTATTCAAACAAAAATAGAAAGTTCATCTAAAATAATTCTGAAATCCACTTGTATAAAATTTAATTCTACAAAATTTCAATTATTCAAAAAATTTTCAATTAAAAAATTTATTTATTCAAAATTATTCAAATCAAATTATCAAATTTATTTATTCAAAAATTTATTTATTTATTCAAAAATTTAACTGATTTCAAGAAAATTTGAATAAAAAGTTTTCAAAAAAATAACTTTTTCAAAATTTCCAATCCAAATTGTTTGAAATTTAAATCTTCCAAGATTTCAAATTAAAATATTTAAATTCAATTACTTTTCATAATTTTTTAAAAAGTTTTTTGAGAATTCAACTGTTTACAGAACACATGCTTTAAATTTTGCAATTTTACCTTTGCAATTAAAAAATATTTTTTTAATTATTCGTTTGGTAATTATACTTTCCTTATAATAAATAATTTTATATATTTCAAATTTTCAATATATATATATATATTCACTTACGAAATAAACTCGGCAAAAAAAATTGATGTTTAACTCACCTGAAACAAAAAGAAAATATTTTGTATTAGAATTATTATCAAAAAAACGAAAACAATAATTTCTATTAAATAATTGTATAAAATTATATTTATTGTTTTAAAAAATGCGACTTTTTACAAACTTAATTTAATAAAAAAAAGTCATAGAAAAAACTATTAGAAAATTAATCTTCTTTCCTTATCCTGGTAATAATCTCAATTCTAAATTTTTGTAAAATTCAATTATTTTCTTAATTTTCATTTACAATTCTTCAAAAATGCGATTAGTTTTAAAAATAATTTTTAAAAGTAAAAAAATTAATTTTTTTTAAATGTAAAATTAATTTTAAAGAAATTTGACAAAATTTTCAATTATTTCAATTCTTTAAAATTATTTTTCTGAATTCAACTATTTAAAAAAATTTAATTACAGTTTTTAAAAATTCAATAATTTTTATTAAATAAATTTTTAAATACTAATTATTATTTATTTTTCCAAATTTTGGTATTTAAATAATTTAATTTTCAAAGAGCTTTCTGAAAATTATTCAAAATAATTGATTTAGAGAAAAAGTTCAATTAAAAATCTTGAAAAATAATTTAATTTGAAAAAAGTTGTAGGTATATGTAGTGCAAATTTTTAAAAACAATTAAATTTAAAAATTCTGAACAATTTAGTTTTTCAAAAAATCCCAATTAAAATTTTGTTGATAAAATTGAATTTCAAAAGATTTGAAATTGATGGTTTGAAAAATTTTAACTCCTTTGAAAAAATGTATTACGAGACCGTTCTTTTAAATCGCTGAAATTTTCTAATTAATTTTCCCCTCCAAAAATTTACTATTTATTATTATTATATTTATTGACTATTTACTATTTCTATTTTTCTATTTCAGGAGAGTGTTAAAGAAACTGTCAAGGAATTGGTACTAACAAAAAAAGAATCAAAGGAAAAGAAAAACGACGATGAATCCGAATATCGTGAGAACAATACAACACTAATCGGCATCACTCCAATAAATAAAGAACCAACAAATCCCGCGAGTTCCGAATTTGATAGTTCATTCTACAGTAGCGTGAGTTGTAATATTCGTGAAAATCTCCTACATCATTTAGATGGAAAACTCGAGATAAATTCCACTTCCCAAAATTCTTCCTCTTCCACATTAGATGTAAAATCCCCAACAACATTATATGAACAATCACAAGTTCAATTTCCCATTGATATTTCCCTCACGGCCGTGACGCCCGTCTACAATAAAGAATATTCAACCGAAAAATTGGAGAATTCAAGTGAATATGCACAGAAGCCGAGAAAAAATTTTAAATCACACCCAAGGAGGGTGTCATTTGAAAAATACAATTTCCCCCGCAAATACGATGGTAAAGAACAATGGAGTTGTTCAATAAAAGATCTAAGTAAATTTGATATATCAACGCAATTGTCCTTAAGAAAAAAGCAGCAATTAATCAAAGAACGTGATAATTTAAATAGGCTGAATCAAATACAAAACAATACAAATTCAAACAATTCAGAAATTGTTCAACAAGAATTTATCGAGTCAAATTCAATTTCTAGTCGTGTTGATAATAGTGACGATAATACCAAAGTTGATAATAAAGAAAAAATTGTTCAATTCAATGAAATTCAAAATAAAATAATAGAGACTAGTTCAAAGTCTCATGTATCAGAAGACGATTCAACAATTGAATTTGCCCATTATCTCAGACTAAGAAAATTGAACGAGGGGAGTGAAAATAATCCGAGCGGAAATAATGTTAATTACGCTGAACTCACTGGCGAATGGTCCAGACCACGAATCTACATATGTAGAGCCTGTGCGGCAAAATATGTAAGTACCCTCTTTTTTCTATTGAAATTAAAAATTAAAAATTAAAATTGAAATTAAAATTAAATTCCAATTCTGTTTTTTGGAAAATATTTAAATTTGTGAATAAAATTTTACTTTAGGAAACCCTGAAGGAAATGGAAGACCACAAAATAGCGACGCATCCAAATGTGTGGTGTTCTCATTATGAATTCGCTGGTGATCAACTAGAACTCTACAAGCATCTCATTCTGCCGGAGAGAAATCAAGCGACCGCAAAAGCCAATGCAGTGTCTCTCGAAAAATCTTGTACAAAGTGCTCGAAAAATTGCAGTACTTTGGCTGAATTCCATAAACATATGCTCGAATGTGGTGGCGATCAGGCTTGGCTACTTGGACTCTTTGGTAATGGAAAGAAGAAATGCAAATGGCGACCATTCGGCAGTCGCAGCAGAAGACGCAGAAATCGTGGTATGAAGAGAAATATCCAAAATTCCCAAACTCCACGAGTCTACGCTCCAAAGGAGAAGCAACCATCTGGTCCTCGAGTTCGTCCAAGCGATCGTAAGAATGTTTTCTCCTTTTTCTCCTATTTTCCTCCTTTTTTCTCCTTTCTTTCCTCTTTTTGTCCCCCGTTTCTCTAACTCCAATTTCTAACAATTTTGGTCTCATTTTCCAGATGAAAGTATTCAAAAGATGCTCGCCAATCTTCCGCCGAAACGGGCAACTCGCAAAGTCCTGCAGGAAAGCGCTGCACGTTCACAGGGTCGACTGCGAAAAGTAAGAAATTTTCCATTATTAAAAAGAAACAATTTTTGCCCTAGAAAATATTCGAGATAATTTCAAGGAAGAACTCGAAACACGATAAAGTTTTGAAACTTAATAGCGATAAGGAAGTATGACATGACTCCGTATACGGACACTATTGATTGCAAACTTTCGCGTGTTTCTGAATGCTTCCAAAACACTCTTCGATCAACACAAAACCATAGTAACTTTCATGTTAACAATATAACTTTCCCCCCTTCACTTTTATGTATTCACCCTCAATTTTAACAAACTATAATTTATAAATAAGTTATAAAATTTACCCTTTCCGTGTAAAACATTAATTAAAATCTCTACAGACTATAAATTAATATCAAATTTAAATGTTTACTAAAACCAAAAAAAATTTCCTTCCAGGTTCAGACAAAAGTCAGATCCAACCTAGTCGATATCTCTTCAACTCGTCTATCACGCAATAAGGCAGTTTTACGTAACAAATTATTGAAAAATGCAAAATCCTTTCAACGAAAACGCTGTCGAAATGACAATATTTCAGCAGCGATTGAAACTGTCGTCAATAGTCACATTGACGAGAAGCAATCAGAAGAAAAGAATGGCAATAAAAATGTCCTATCAGAAGAAACGAATCAAAGTACGAGAAAAATCGAAACCAACAAAACAGTGAAAAATATCAAAGTTCTCAGCAAGAAGAAAAACGTTAAATCAAAAGAACCGATAATTCGACGTGTCCAATTGCCAAAAGCTCGAGGAGTAAAGTCAAAGACGACTATCGAGAAAGTTTCAAAAATCGATAGTCCCACCGAAACGCCTACTAGACGATCTTCCAAGGACGATGCTAAACTCGAAAATACCGACGAAAAAAATCCAACATCCGAACTCGAAACATCGACCAGAAGGAAAAAAATATTAAATCCCGTCGCATCTCTCAACGCCTCAATTAAAGCAAAAGCCCAACTGAGAACCACCGATGGAAAATTCGCCCGAAGTCCCATTAAAATCCCCAAAATAATCTCAGACCCCGAGACATTGCAAAAACGCGGTAAAATTTCCATCGCTCCCGGTCGTTTTCTCCGCTCCAAACTCAAAGTCGCCCAAAATTTAATGAAAGACGCAGTGAAAACTTCCCGCCGAACAAATTCAAAATTACCGGATAAATCGACAGGACAAAAGAAAGAAGATTCCCCCCAAGAATCAGAAATTACAAATGAACCAAAACACCGCACTTCGAGAAATTCGTCACTAAATCGAAAAGAAACAAATAAAGTCACCGACACCGATAAGGCAAAAGAAGAGGGAAAAGTCAAAAGACTGAATAATAAATTGACGAAAAAAGCGAACGAAACGAAAGAGGAGATTAACGAACAAGTGGAAAATACAATCAAGGAGGTGCGAGGACGACCTAGAAAGAGTCTTCCGGCAAAAATTTCCGAAAGTAAAAAAATTACTCTCAATTTACGACGTCACAGCAACTCGGCAACTAAGACGCCAAAAGAAGACGATACCATTTCTCATAACGAAGCAAAAGTCGAAACAGTTACTCCAGAGAGCAAAAAATCAAAAGAAGACGACGCGACTCCTAAAATATCCCCAGCGAAGCAAAAATCCCCGAAAGGCACACTAAAAACCCTGAAGAAGAATATAAAATCAAAAGTCGTCTTTAACAAGAAGGGGAAAAATCTCTCCAAGGAAGTGGGAAGAATAATGCGCAAATCGCCCAGAACTGCCAAAATTCAAAAAATCCAAACTAATCTCCCTGAGGAAATTATGAAAAAAGGAATTGAAGAACAAAGTGGTGACATTGAAAGTAAAACGGAACCGAGCGAAAGTATAGAGAAAAATAGCGAAGAAGAAGAAGTGACAATTAATAAAGAAGATAATGAACAAGATAATAGAGATAATAAAGAAGATGGAAAGGAAGATGAGAAAGAAGAGAATAAAGAAGATGAAAATGAAGAGAAGAAACAAGACGAAAATGAAGAGAATAAAAAAAACGAAAATGAAGAAAATAAAGAAGATAATACAGAAGTTAAAGAAGTTAAAGAAGTCAAAGAAGTAAGAAAAGTTAATAAAGAAGTTAAAAAAGTTAATAAAGAAGTTAATAAAGTTGATAAAGAAGTTAATAAAGAAGTTAATAAAGAAGATAATATAGAAGGTAATGAAGAAAATAAAGAAGAAAATAAAAAAGATAATAAAAAGGTTAATAGAAAAAATAAAGAAAATAATAAACAAGATAATAAGGAAGAAAATGATAAAGAAGACAATGGCAAAGGAGATAACAGCAAAGATAATAGCAAAGATAATGGCGAAGATAATAGTGAAGATAATAACGAAAATAATAGCGAAAATAATAGCGAAGATAATAACAAAGAAGAAAATAGCAAAAAAGATAAAGAAAGAGAAGCTAATAATCTAGAAGATGAGATAGCAAATATAGAAATAGACAAAGAACAACCAAAAGAATCAGTTTCCAAAATTCCGGAAAATTCTGACATGATTAATTTCAGTCTCGATCACATTCATCAGGAATCATGTAATTCGAATATGGACAGCGGCAAGGAAAATTCCCTCGAGATATCTTTGAATGTCGCTAAATTAAAGGTGACACGTCAGAAGAAAACGAGAAATTCCCGAAAAGAAAGAACGTCAAAGAGATCGTTGAACAATGTTATCGGCATATTAACCGAAGGTGTGAATATTCCAATCGAAGCCCAAGAAAGTGTCGTCCTAACACTACAGACTTCACTCGAAATTAATAATGAAGCATTTCCAAACAACGATTCAACGCGCAGTGAAAATTTCCCCAACGACAAACCAACAGAATTGGGAAACAATATCGAAACAAGTGTTCCAAGTACTGTCGAACCAAATATTCCAAATACTCCCACTACGACTTCTCTAGAATTAAGTGCACCGGAAGTAAAGCCGAAGGAATCGGAAGTGGAACAAAACGAGTCGAAAGTGGATCGAAACGAAACGGAAGGAAAACTGAACGAAAAAGAAAACCCACAAAAAGTTGACGAATCAAATCCAACAACAGACATTATTCTCGATCTCTCGAGACGAAAAACAAAAGGCAAAGGTTCCTTTTTAGAAAGAATCGTCTCTAAAATTGCCAAAAAGAAAGACGTCTCACTGGATAGCGATGCTGGTTTTTCCCTGGGAAGCATAAATTCCGAAAGTGTTCCAATCCCACTTCCGGAAATTATTGCCAAACCAACCGATGTACAACCATCAACGTCGGTTACTGAATCCCGAGAAAGTGAAATAGAAAATGAAAATAATTCCACCAAGCCGAAAATAGACAAAGAAGAAGAGAAAAAAGAAACTGACAGCAAGGAAGAAAAAACGCCAAGAAAATCAAAAAAGCGTTCCCTAGAGGTGAATTCACCGAAGAAAAATAAGCGCAAAATAACAACTCAAGTTCCAGAAGAAATTCAAATCGAAAAAGAACTCAGTTTCGGTGATATTATGTCCCTAGTTCATAAATCCGAAGTTCCTGCCGAAGACATTCCCGACGAGCCGCTAATTATCGCCGAAGAGAAAATAATCGATTGTGACAAACAAACCGAAATCAATACCGAATCGAACGACGACAATTCAAAACAAAACAAAGAATCCCCAAAGAAATCAAAACGAAAACTAAATTCGGAAGTTCAAGACGAAACGAATGACGATTCTTCTGAAGCGAAAAAGACCGAAACGCAAAAAACACGCAAATCATTACGAAAATCACAAAAGAATGACGAAGATCCAAAGGAAGATTCAAATCAACAAAACGAAGAAAAAGAAAAAGAAGAATCTAAAGACAATACGAATTTATCACCAAACTCGAGTATTTTAGAGTCAAAACAGGAAATACAATTCTCAGAGGAAAGTGACGGAGAAAATTCCCGAAAACAACCGAATAAGGAAAGTGACAAAGATATTTCTGATTCGGAAATGTTCAAGGTACCAAATACTTTCACTGGTAAACGATCATCAAAACGCAAATCACAAACAAGTGAAAATTTGCCAAACACTGAGGAATTATCCGAAGATTCAAGTAACAGTGAATCGTTTACTGAAGAGTCAACCAGAACGAGGCGAAAATATTCCAAACGTAAACAATCTGTGGAAAATCGTTCAGAATCAGAAGACGATTTCTCCAGCGATTCGTCGCCAACCAAGGAAAATTTATCCGAAGAGACACATATTGGAAAACGTCAAAAATTAGGACGAAAGGCAAAACAAAACATTTCCCTACTCGACGAACATATTCTTCTACCCGACGACGAAACAATAAATGAAGAAGATGAGGAATTATCCGTCGATAAAGAAAGGAAACGAGGAAGAAAACCGAAAAATCCACAGACACAAACTGGGGAAAATTTAAATATAACAAACACAACGGAAACTATAATTTCCGAAAGTGTTTCAGTGGAGAAAAAGCGACCCGGTCGTAAGCCTAAAAAACTTACTCCCCCCAACGAAAGTATTTCACCGGAAAAAGTGACCGAAGAAATTGATAATCAGAAAGAGCTTTCGTCTTCCGATGAAAAGAATCAAGAAACTTCGGATTTGTCCGAATCGCCTAAAATTCCCGAAAGAAAACGTGGTCGAAAGCCTAAGAAATCCACCACCGTTGATGAAACTCCCCTTCAGGTGAATGAAGAAACTCCAATGCAGATTGAAGAGAACACGGAAGAAACTGAAATCGAAAAAGTCGAAGAAAAAAAGAAACCCGGAAGAAAGTCGAAAAAGAATTCGGATAATCCCGAGGAGGTGAAAATTAACGAAGAGGTATTGATCACACCGGAAGAAAAATCAGATTTAGAGTCAAAAGATAAACTAACGAAAACTGATGACCCCGAACTCGAAATAAATTTTTCACTTCCTGTAAAATCTTTCGAAACTAATCAATCAGAAAAGAAACGACCAGGAAGAAAACCGAAGAAAATTGTCCAGGAAGATGAAAATCCATCGCAGCGTCTTCAAGAACAAGAGGCAGATAAAATTCCCAGTGAACAATTAAACACGGACGAAAGTAAATTAGAAAAGAAACGACCAGGAAGAAAATCGAAAAAGAATATTTCCCTCGCCGAAGACGATCTCTTTCCCCCGCACGATGAATCCTTCGAAATGGAAAACGATAAACAAACAGAGGATAAATCACTGGACGTATCGACAAAATCAACAGAAAAGAAACGACCTGGAAGAAAACCTAAACAGAAAATCGCAGAACCTCCAGAAAATACCGATGAACCCACAGAAAAAACAAATGAATTTACAGAAAAGGATAATTTGAACATGAAACGTTTCAAACGTTGGGAAAGAACTCATTTCTTGAATTTGTTTCCATGCAATAAACAAGAAGATCCAATTGATTCAGTGTTTCTAAGGGATACATTGATGAAGGATGATTCATGGACTCCCGAAAATATCGAAACTATTTCTGATTCTCCATTAGAAAGAAAACATCCCGGAAGAAAATCGAAAAAGAATATTTCCCTCGCCGAAGACGATCTCTTTCACCCGCACGTTGAATCCTTCGAAATGGAAAACGATAAGCAAACAGAGGATAAATCACTGGACGTATCGACAAAATCAACAGAAAAGAAACGACCTGGAAGAAAACCTAAACAGAAAATCGCAGAACCTCCAGAAAATACCGATGAACCCACAGAAAAAACAAATGAATTTACCGAAAAGGATAATTTGAACTTTAATTCCGACATGAACCCTATCAAACGTTGGGAAAGAACTCATTTATTGAATTTGTTTCCATGCAATAAACAAGATGATCCACTTGATTCAGTGCTTCTAAGGGATTCATTGATGAAGGATGATTCATGGACTCCCGAAAATATCGAAACTATTTCCAATTCTCCATTAGAAAGAAAACATCCCGGAAGAAAAGCGAAAAAGAATATTTCCCTAATTGATGAGCATCTCGATCTTCCAGACGATCCGCCTTTGGAAATTTCAGAACTGAATTCATCAAATCAAAATTTAACGATAATAAATACAGATTCAACAAAACTAGAGACAGATTCATCGAAAGTAAATATAGATTCGACAAAAATAAATTTAGATTCGACAAAAATAAATTTAGATTCAAATGTAGATTCGACAAAAATAAATACTGATTCAACAGAAATAAATACGGATTCGACAAACAAAATTCAAGACAAAGTCGAATTACAAACTTTGGAAATTGTTTCCCCCGAAAGAAAGCGACCGGGAAGGAAGTCTAAAAAAATAATTACCGAGCAAAAAGATGTTGAGGAAAATAATACGAGTTTAGCCGCTATCGAAAAAGTACCAGAATTAAATGAAAATCCTTCAGTTCTGGTGCCTGATAATAATGTCGAAAGTGAAGAAAAGGAAAAGAAGAGACCAGGAAGAAAATCTAAGAAGACTTCATTACTTGATAATTCTTCTTTGTCTATTGATAAACAAACCGTTGAACAAGAAAATAAACCGGAAAATATAGTCGAAATTACTGCTCCACAAAACGAATCGATGGAGAGAAGACGTCCTGGGCGTAAATCCAAAAAGTACACTTCCCTCTGTGAGGAACATCTCGCTCTTCCTGATGATGATATTGATCTTCCAGAAATTACCAAAAGGGAAAATACTCTCAAGAAAGAAAAAGCGAAAGAAAAGGAGAAGGAAAAAGAAAAAGAGAAAGAAAAGGAAAAGGAAAAGGAGAAAGAAGTAGAGAAAGAGAAAGAAAAGATAAAAGAAAAGGAGAAAGAAAAAGAAAAAGGGGAAGAAAAAGTAAAAGGTGTAGAAAAAGAGAAAGAAAACGGGGTAGAAAAAGAAATACCAGGAATAGAAGAGAGAAGTAAAGAAGAAACAGAAACTAATCAGTTAATTTCAGAAATTTCTCCTCAACCAGTGGATAGAAAACGTCCTGGAAGAAAAGCGAAAAAGAATATTTCCCTAATCGACGAACATCTTGATCTACCAGACGACGATCCTATCTCCAAAGAAGATAATTCAACAACAGATTCTATCAAAGTCTTCACAAACGATATTCCCGAAGAGATTACAAACGAATCTAAATCATCTTCAGACAAAAAACGAAACGCATCACAGGACAGAAAACAAAAAGCACCAAAGAAAAAATCCACCATTGCATCTCTATTTCCAGAACAACATTCCGAATTAATTAATCAAACCGAAGATCTCAAGGAACAAAAGGAAAATAAAAAGGAAAAAATTAACAGCAAACTGGAAGATATTTCCTCAACATTAGACAACATTAGTTCTATTCTAGAAAACGAAGTCTGTCAAAAAACAACACTAATAAACCAAATTTTACCATTTTCCTCCCAACAATCTGATTTGCCAATAGAAGAAAAATTGCCAGAAAAAAATTCATTAGAATTATCGAATTGTAACGATCAGGAAACATCGTCTCTTGATTCTGCTTTGAATCCAGATCCACAGGAGACAAAAGAAGATGACGATTTCCAAACACCGAAAAAACGTCCTATTGGAAATTTCGCTGTGGTCCATACGAAAACTGGTGAAATTCTAATTGTCGAGAAAAAGAAGAAATTAACAAAAGAAGCCGCTAAATTTTTCTGCGATATTTGCACGACAAGTTTCACTAGACGAAGTTCATTGAAAAAACACAATCTCTCCCAGTCGCATCTTATCCAAATTCAACATTCAACATCCGATCGAGATGAAATTCAAACTCACCGCGACGAGGAGGAGAAGAGTAATTTTGAAAAATTGGAAAAAATCACTATTCCAAATGAAAATCCCGCTGACAATTTAGACGTTTTGAATCAACTCCTCGATCAGCATTTCAAACAAAATGATTCAATTCCCAGGGAGAAATTACCAATTCCAATGATAATTCCTCCCTTTGTTGAGAAAGCATTGCCAGTCGAGGCGGAACAGGAGAATATGGATGACGATTTACTCGACGAGGAGATTTGCAAAATTACCGAAAACATGACGCACGATGAATATGTTTTGACCGATCACATCAGTCCCGTATTCCCCGAGGCAGCTTCTACACCGATTAAAAATTTAGAATCTAAATTAGAATCTAAATTCGAATCTAAATTAGAAACTAAATTTGAATCTAAATTAGAATCTAAAGTTGAATCAAATGAGACGAAAAATAAAAAGACCAAAAAGGAAAAGTTGAAGCAGAAAAAGAGAAATTTGGCAGAGGAGCATTTGGATCTCGATACCCCCGAGCCTGAGTCTCAAAGTTCTGATAAATTCTCAATCAACGAATATTCCAATCAACTTTCTGACATCACACCCGAAATTTCCAAGGATTCCCAAGAAGTTATCGAGAAATTAGAAAATCCAGTCACTCCAAAGAGAAAAAATCGAAAGGAAACTACTCAAACCGAAACGATCGATACCGAAATTTGTCAAATTTCTCCAAAACGTTCTTCCCTGAGATCTAAACATCAAGAAAAGAAGGAAGAAATCTCCCGACCAAAGAGAAATCAAAGCAAACAAAATTACAAAGAATACGAAAACGACGATTTCGATCAAGAAACTTTAGAAATTGAACTCCCAAGACGTGAAAATTCGAGATCGAGAAAAAACACCTCTAATCGCGATTCATCCAAATCGAAGAAAAATCAAGAAAAGGATAATCAAGTAAATGAAAATCCTCCCCCAGAAATTCTAAACATAAGAGAAGATATAGAAAATGATTTAAAATTACAAAATTCGTTACTCTCGAACAATTCCGATTTACAATTAAATTCACAAGAATCAAAGACAATTTTTGACGAAGACAAGAATTCGAAATTAAACTTTTTGAATATCACCGAAACACTCAAAGTACAAAGTGGTGACATTCAAAATTGCAATACAAATAATTCGATAAACACTGAATTCGACAGTGACGATAATTCCCTAAATACCGACATGTCCGTTGATATACAAAAATTACTCGACGATCCCGAATTGAGCGTTGACAATAATAGTCTCCAACCAAATTTACAAACCGTCTTCAATAGCGAAGTGCTGAAAAAATCCATCGAACGCGATTCAATCGAAACTCTAAATTCCCTTGAATCTGAAGCAGAAAACTTATCAGCATCGTTTACAAGAAATGACAATGAAATTGAATCAAACGAGATTGAAATCGAGCCAGAAAATGAAAAAATCGACACTGGAACTGAAAACGAAATTGAAACCGAAGAAAATGAAATCGAAAGGAGGGAAAATGAAATCGAAACAACAGAAGAGAATAAAATCGAAACTAGAGAAAATGAAATCGAAGAAGAATTCAAAATAGAAGAAAGAAATAAAGAATTCAAAATAGATGAAGAAAGAAATGAATCCAAAATAGAGGAAGAACAAGAATCCCAAGAGGAAAAGGAGTCGCAAAAAATTAAAAGCACTGGAAAGATACAAAAGGGAAAATCAAAGCAAAAGAAAGGAGTCAAGAATAAAAAATCAAATCTAAATCCCACTGAATTTAGCGATAATGAAGAACCACCTCTAGAGTCGCAAAGTAAAAACAAAATCGTTCGCAGTGTATTTGGCCGAGTATTCGCAGGCGAAAAAGTCGATAAAGTGCGAGAAGTCCTTGACGATTGGAACTCAAAGTCAGAAAGTTCCGACAATGATCTCAATAAATCCAAAGATTCCGCATCATCAAGATCAAGAAGAGATTCAAAGCAAAAGAAAGATTCCAAAAAGAATACAAAACGTTCTCGAAATTCCTCAACCAGCGGAAAATCACAATCCCAAAAGAGAAAAAATGAATTCCAAACTGAAGATTCGTCGAAAAAACCCAGCACATCGAGAAATTCTTCCCAAACACGATCAGTTGATCAACTAAAGACAAATAGAATTGAATCTTCTCTGGGAACGTCGGAATTATTAATCACAAGTTCAAGATGCCGACAGAGTAAAAAGAAAGCCGAAGAACGTATTTCGACAATTTCCCGAGCATTCGATGATGATTCATCAATTCCCGACGATGATTTCGGCGAAAAAGTTTCAAAACTAAAAGAAGAATTAAAAAATAAAATGGAAAATATTCAACCAGAGTATGACAAAGAAGAAGAAATATCCGAAAAGAATAAAGAATATGCAAACAAACTTGAAAATTTTGATATAAGAAGCGAAACAAGTCAAAAAATAGATGAATTACCATCGATACCGTTGAGTCCAAGAAGTCCCTCGACAGTTTCTCAATTAACCCGAAATTCCGATCGTAATGTCGATGACGATGACGATGATGACAATGACGAACTCGAGGATTGTCTCCTACGTAGGCGAATGTCACCCTACTTCGACTACAACAATTCCTACACATCTTTGGGAAGCAGTACAAACAACACTGAAAATAATTCAACTGACAATGATGGAAAATACGTGAATGAGGAAAAAAATCCCCTCCGTCGGAAAAGTTGTTCCAGTGAATTTTCCGGCGAGAAAATAGTAATTCGTTCACCGCTCGCCTTACATGAGAATAGAGCTGAAGTTGTCACAATAGCACCCACCGATGCAATCGAAGACAATGCACTTGACGTTCCACAGGAAATTATCTCAGCCAATGCCGCAGCCGCCGCTGTGTCTTCTTCAATGTCCCAAAATAAATCCCGTCAGGGTAAAGTTTTGAATTTCGATGAAGAACTATTTGTCGAATGTTGCTCAAGACTTAAGGCAACAACCGAGAAGGAACTGCGTGGCGCCAAGAAAATAAAACTCGATCATTCCGAAATGTATCGCAAGGAACTGCCGGTGCAATTTTTCGGACCCAGCAAGGATCGTTGGCGAGACGCTGAGAGTCAGAATAGTCTAGGCAGCCTCCTCGAATCTGTCAATCAGGTAAAGCGAATTAGTCCATCTACTCATCAATCACTCAATTCAATTTTAATTTTCAAATTCAATTTTAGCTTCGAATTTTAATTTTCAAATTCAATTTTAGCTTCGAATTTTAATTTCAAATTCAATTTTAACTTCGATTTTTAATTTTAATTTCAAATTCAATTTTAGCTTCGAATTAAATATTTACCGATTGTGGTTTAATTTACAAACATTGATGATTTCAGTTATTGGGCGAGGAAATGTACGGCAACAATGATAAGGATAATCGTGCTTTGGACAAACAAAGTGAACGTTCAAGTCGATCGGCGAGTCCGGATGAATCGCGACCTGACAATCTTGGCTATGAGGACAGTCTAGACGTTGCTTTTGAGCACAACAATAAACTTCGGGATAAAATACAGCAACGCATGAGAGAAAGTGAAAATCTCATCTCAAATGCATTCGGTCAAAGGAGTGACCACAGTGGAGATTATCAATTAAATCATTTCATTGAAAGAGAAAATCGCGACGAAACTGAACACATTTACGGACGTTTGCAAAATCAATTCAATTCACCAAATACATCGAATGGAATTTACAGTACCGGTCACAATAAAAGTCAAAATCTTCACCATGGCGGTCTTCTGGACAAAGCTCTCTCGAATTTATTACACAACAACGACAAACACGACCACAAGTAAGTTTTCATTGTATTTTTTAATTTACGAAAACTTAATTTATCGAAATTATATTGAAATCCATTATTGAATCTATTACAGATTTCGTATTCGATAATTAATTTTGAAGCAAAGAGTATTTTTGTCTAAAAAAAAGTAGGGAAAAGTAACTATCGAAAAATTAAATTTGACGCCTAAAAAAAATTCATTTTAATTGATTCACAAAAATTTGATTCTGTAATTTCTCTGACTTTTTACTGATTTCCATAAAAAATATCCACTTTTTTTCTTATCTAACATCAATTCTAAATTTTTCGTTCGAATTCTTAAAAAAACGCCTTTTTTAAAATATTTTTAACTATTAATTATTAATTAATAATTTTTAATATATAAAATTTATTTCAATAAAATTTGACTAAAATCTCCAATTAATTGTAAATTTAATTTAATTTTTTTTAATTATTTACGGGAATTTAACTATTTTCAAAAAATGTTAGTTACAATTTGTTAAAAAAATTTTGAAATTTTATTATTTCTCAAAATTTATACTATAACGCTTCTAATATTCAATTATTTAAGTACAAAAAAAATAATTAAATGAACAATTGATTATTTTTTTTAATTGAATTCTTATAAGAAATTTTATAAAATATTTCATAAATAATTGAATTCTTTCGAAGCATTTTAATAAAATTTTTAAAAATGATATGCATTTCTCAAGAATTTTGTATTAAAATTTTTACAAAGAATTTAATGACAATTGTATTAAAAATATATAAATTTTATTAAAATCATTAAAAATAATTGACTTCTTTCAGACAATTTTATACAAATTGTTTTAAATAATTGAATTTCTCTAAAAATTTTATGATTTATGAAAATAATTAAATTTTTTCTAAATAATAGAAAAAATCTATTGTTTATGAAAATAATTACATTTTTTGAAAAAATTTTACTAAATTTTTTTTAAATAATTGAATTCTTGCAAAGAATTTTGTTAAAATTTAGAAAAATAATTAAATTCTTGCAACGAATTTTATTAAATTTTTTTAAAAATAATTGAATATCTCTGAAGAATTTTATTATTTGTGAAAATAATTGAATTTTGGTATTAAAATGTTTACAAAGAATTAATTACTTAAGAATATATAAATTTTATAAATAAAAATTATTAAAATCCTTAAAAATAATTGAATTTCTGTAAAATTTTTATTATTTATGAAAATAATTGAATTTTGGGAAGAATTTTATTAAATTGTTTTAAAAGAATTAAATTCTTTAATAAAATCCCATTAAAATAGTAAATATTGATAATCATTTAATTCTTGCAAAGAATTTTAATTTACTTTAATAATTCTATTAGAATTATCTTTACGGTGAAATAAAAATAGTCATTCTTTTTTCAGTGGATCGACTCCGATGACAGTTTTGGCAGAGCTCGCCTGCGCTCGTGCTCCAACATCAACAGACTCCACGAAGTTCCGCAAAGAGGAATCAGAAAAGAAGGAATTGACAATTTTTAAAGAATCGACAATCAAGAAAACTAAAAATCCAATTAAGGAATTGTTCGAAAGAAAGAAGGAACTTTACGAGAGGAAACAAATTGAAAAGGCAAAAATTGACGTAATCACCAAGACAAACATACAAAAGGGAAGAAAATCCAAGAAATCGAAAAAACGCCAAGAATTCCCCCTAATTAGAAGCGATCAATACGATGGTTTAGCGGAAAAGAAGAAAAGACGCGACATATTCGAAAAGAAGGACGACATGAATTCATCAAAAACAAAAGACATTTACGATTTTGAAGACGAGGAAAGTCAAATTGAATCCGGTTTTAGTTCAGTTCTCTCCTACCGAACGAAAACAGAAACAAATTTCAAAGATTTAATAACAAAAGCATCTCACAATTTGGAAAATTCTTTCGGTAAACGTTTGGAAATTGAGAATAAATTTAAGAACAGCGAAAAATTCGCACCTAAAACAAAAGGCGCACTGAAAGCATTTCAGAGTGAAGATAAAGTCACCGGTCCAATGGACGATTTTGTCGAGAGGAAGAAAATTTCCAAACGAACTGAAATTAAACACTCGAAGCAAAAGAAGAAAAATAAAAATACAAAACGTAAATCAAGAAACGCTTGGTATGAGAACGATAGTTCTGATGAATTTATAACAGCCGCAAAAACCGAAGACGTTGGAGTCGGAATTTCCAAAAGTCAACGCACTTGCTCGAAAGGCAAGCAAAATCTCTTCGCCGAATTGTCAACATCATCCGAAAGCGAATCAATTTACGAAGATATGGAACAAATTCAAGAAAAATTCTCAACGAACGAAAATTCAGAAATTACGAAAGAAAATCAAGAAAAATCATTGCCGAATACTGAAAATGAAACTTATAATAATTGGGACGAGATGGAGAAAAATAATTTGGAATCGTCAATTTCCGAAACTGATTCTGAATCAGAGTCGGAATTAATTATCGATCTCAAGAAGGACAGCGAGGAGAATAAAGATCCCGAGGACGCTTCCGATTATGATGAGGAAAATAATTACGAGGATGATAATTGTGACAACGGTGACAATTATCGTGAAAATGATGATAATTATCGTACGAATGGCGACAATTATCGTGACAATCCCGATGATGATGAAGAAGATGATGAAAATCCCGACGAAAATATTAACAAAGAACAATCAATCGAAACGAAAAATGACTCGAAAAAAGAATGGATTCCCCTCGAAGAGGCTCTCAATCTTCTCGAGAAAAATGACAATCTCGAGAGTGTGACAAAGGAAATGAAAATATTCGCCAAAGCCTCACGTACAAAAGCAAAGAGAACCGATAGCGAGAGTTCAATTAAATTCAATAAGGAATCAAAAGAAAATCACAGTCCCGACGAATCGGAACTTCAAGACGACGATTTACCAGTTTTACCCGAAAAACTCCCAACCAACGAGAAACCACAGAAAGAACCGGAAAATCTACCCCTCCACGTATTTCTCAGTCGTAAAGTTCAAGAGTCAAAGAAACGCAAACAATTGCAGCGTAAAAATAAAAAATTACAACAAACAAATTCGTCAATAAATTTCGAACCAATAAGACGTCAACGTAAATGTGCCATCGGTAAGCAAGGCCTCCTCGCCGAAATAAGCAGTTCTGACGATGAGGACTTTACAAAAATTTCCCATCGTCGCAGTAAGGAGAAATCCGACACCATCGAAAGATCCCGAAAAAAGAAGGAATCAAAAGAAAAGAGAAAGGAACGTTACATTGAAAAGAAGCACGAGCAAATGATTGCTAAGGAACAAAAGGCAATCGAGGAGGAAATATTACGGGAATTGGGGAAAAATAAGGGTGAACAAGAAATGAAGAATGACAATGAAGTCAAAAAAGGCGAAAAAGAAAAAGAAAAACAAGAAGAAGAAGGAGAAGAAGATGAAAGAGAAGAAGAAAGTGAAAACGAAAAGTCGCGTAAAAAGCAAAGACTCAAACAAATCGAAAGCGAAATCGATTCTGAATCAGAATCAAAGGAGAGAAATAAGGCGAAAGTTAATCAAAAGAAAAAGAATGTGAAGAAGAGTAAAATTGAAAAGCCGAAAAGTAGACGTAATTCAATATCCAGTGGTACTACAAAGGAACGTAGATTATCGAACAGTAAACGTGATTCCGGCGATGATGAACTAAGAACAACAAAATCGTGGAATAAAGTCGACGATATTGGTGTTGCCATCGGTAGACGTAAACGTGCAGCAGCCAATCAACTCTACTATTGGTCGAGTTCAAGCGATGAGGATGAATTAATCGAAACAGCTCCTGCAGCAGAAGAAGAAGACGATAGATTAGAGCAACACGGTTGGATTGTTGGTGATTCGCATAAAAAAATGATCACCATGCTCGCAATGGAGAAGCAATTAAAGGAGAAACGAAGAAGAAGCGAGGATGAATTTGATTCCGGCAAGGGAAAAAGCAAAAAGCACAGGAACAGTACATCTTGATACGTATTTCACGATTAGATTTCTCGAAATTTTTCCAATTTATTCTCCACTTAAAAAAAAAAAATTTAGTTTCAATTTTTTATTATTAAAAAAAATTTTAGTTTCAATTTTTTATTATTAGAAAAAATGTAGTTTCAATTTTTTCACCTTTTGGTTTATTGTAAAAGACGCCTTCTCTAGGTGTTTTTCAAATTAAAAAATTGAGAATATTAAAAAATTTATAGATGTTAAGAAAAAAAAAAATTTACTGCCACTTACATTTTTTTTCTCCTGTCAAAATTAGAATAATCTTTTCAAATTTCTCAGCGCAATGTTTGTAAGTAAAGAGGAAAAAAAAATGTAAATAATTCATTTTACGCAATCCCCTTCGAATATAATCGATAGTTGGTATAAAAATGCGGTAATATTAGACTGAATAAAAAAAAATCTTGTAAACGGAAGAAAGATCACGCAAAGGGCAGTTTTAGGACAATACTAGTACATTTTTTTGAAAGAATAAATTTTAGTTTATAGTTAATTTATAGGGAAAAAAAAATTCTTGCAAGAGTTAAATAATTATATTTTAAGGGATAAATTTATACAAAGATCACTTCCAATGGACATTTTTTTGTAAATAGGGGTCCAATTCAGAAAAACGCTTTCGCTTTTTGTGATTCATAATATATACAACATATCTTCGCGCAGGATAGAAAATATTTCAATTGTTTGAAATATTACAAAAAGAATTTAATTTTTTTCTGTTTACTTTTTTTGGTGCAAAAAAAACACGGCATACAATATTTTTGTTTGTTGTGTTTGTGACGATCTCATATGTGTCACGATTATTAAAAATGCCCGATGCATATATTATAAAAATAAGCTTGTTAATTGCGAAAAATCGTGTTTTTTTTTTTGTCAAGCCTATATAGTTATGGGTGCACACATAATAGCCGAGTACCTTCACAAAAAAAATAAAAAAAAAATTTGCATATTGAATAAATATTATATATTATAAACGTTATATGTATAACATAACGATTAATTGATAACATAGAATTTATTGTAAATGTACTGCCATAATCATATTATCAGAATGAAAGCCTATTAAATAGTTATTATTATTTCTGTAAAGACGAAAGTGTTTAGCACAAAAGTAGAAATATCCAGTGTAAATAGAACATATTTTCAATGTGTCTGGAAAAGTATGTTTTGTAATATAAGCATTGCGAAAGAAAAATAAAATTAATAATTAAGAAAAAATATTTTTCCTCGTTTTTATTTAATTGTTTCTTAATTTGACTTGTTTTGATTTTTAAATATAATATTTATTAAGGAGTCTGGCAATTTTTCTGTCAAAGAAATACTTTAGTAACATAACCTAAAATTTAAGTCATTTTCTCCAATATTTTAATGACAAAATTAGTCATTTTTATTCAAATGCAAATTTTATTTAAATTATATCAGTTAAAAGTTAGTTATTTATTATTTAAATTGTTGGAAAATTCATTACCCTCCCATTAAAACAAAATTAAAAGTATCTTTTTCGTTTAAAATACGAAATTATGACAACGGACTATTGTTTTGACTAAATTTTTCTTTAAGTTTCGAGGAAATAAACTTAATATTTGGTAAAATTATTATTCATCTGGTTAAAAGGCCCGTTTACCTTTAATTTCCATCGTACTACCGGTCCTAAAATTCCTAATTTCAATATTCTATTTATATTTCATTATTTTAATTTTTATGTATTTTTATGAATATAAAATCTAATTACAGGCGGGATTAATTATTAGGGGCAGAAAAATCGTATAAACACAAATACTTTGACGACTGTTTACGTTTTGAACAGTTTTGAGCGCCAAACGCGCCAAATCAGATTCGGAGCAATTGTAGGTTATGTTAACCCCGCTTGATCATGTATAAATATTAAACGAAATAGTACCGATTGAAAAAACTCACCAATCCTACTAATTCATCTCCTCTCAAAACAACATTTTTCGCTGTTTAACTCGACAAATTGAATATATAATCTACGATCGACGACGATTATGTACGATTGTCTTCTGCCGATCTCATTGTTGCGGGGCTTGCGAAGCAATTTTCCCTTCTGCGATCCATTTACATATTTGACTATTTTCCTGCCTCTATTTCAACGTTTTAATGATATTTGACTATAATTACTCATTTTTGTCCACTGCTACTTTATTTTTATACTGAAAATACTAAAAAAACTGAAAGATAATCCAGAGAACGATGTGTCGTGTTCGACATTTTTTTACTACTAAAAATGGCGTCGGGCAGTGTTGCCAACCGCAACAAAATGAAGCACAGCGTAACGAACTTTTGAAATTAAGTTCAATTTTATAAACAAATTTCTGTATATTTTTACTTATAGAATATGGAAATACATAAAAGGGATGTATATTTCTAAAGTAAATAAACAAAAAATGTAAATGTAATTGTCAGGAAAATAATAAATTGGATTGAAAAATTAATATTTGAAAAATTTTCATTGCGCATGTGTAGAAGAATGGAGGGAAATAATTCTCAGAGCGGGTAATTTGAAATGTAAAGTAATTTATATTTCTTTTTTATTTGTTGATTTATATTTCTTAGTTTGACATTTGGGTTTATATCTCAGTGTAATTGAGTGCATGTATGAGTTTAATAGAAGTAAGCTTTAATAAAAATAAACATTTAATAAAAGTAACTGCTTGAAAAGAAATACCAGATTTACCGACCGAAAAAGGAATTCCGTCGATAAGGTCGAATCTTCTTCCTGCAACCTCATTGACACGAACACACACACAAACAGTAAACTGTATACACCGTACGGCAGTAATTTTGTGACAGTTTTTTTTATAAATTAAAATAATTTAAGAATAAAAATGGCATACTTAGAGCCTGCTCAACGTTTTGCAATGGGAACGAACAATATAATGGGTGCAGATTGGATGCAATCGGAACACAGTACAGGAGTAAGTTATTTAATTTATTTTTTCCTAATTTTATGTACTTTTTGAGGTTAGCATGACAATGCAAACTAAGTTTTAAATTCCCATGTCATTTACTTCTTTTTCATTTTCAATTTAAAAGAAATGGTTTGATTTACCTTGTAAACCGAATAATTTGATATTCTATTTTTAATTTATTCCTTGTAGATTAATGCGGCAAAATTCGCAAAATTCTTATGTTTATTTTAGGTTAAGTGAAAACTTCTTTTTAAATTTTCACGTCTATTTCTCTAGTGTTATAAATAAATTTCTCTCCAATGTATAAATAATTAAAAATATGTAAAATTAGTGTAATAGGAAAATAATATTAATTTAGATACAGAACAATAATAAACCATCTTAATTTTTATTATACAAAATAGTTCGTAAAATGCAACTTCTAGTGTTTACACTCGATATAATATTAATTTAGATATAGAATAATAATAACGTATCTATTATTTATTATATAAAATAGTTCGAGAGATGCAATTTTTTTGTTACACAGTTTTTTCATAATATTAATTTCATTTCCAGACATCTATTATGGCTGTTGAATTTAATGGTGGTGTTGTAATTGGAGCAGATTCTCGTTCAACGACAGGGTAAATTATTAAATTTGCTTTTAAATCCATTAAATTTTGCGTGCGACAATTCTTAATTGCGTGTAAATTATTTTAAATTGATTCAATTTATAATGTGAAACAATGATATGTAATGTAGTGTCAATTAAATTAATTGTACTAAAAGGACAAGAATTTTTAATAGTAATAGTTGTGAGATATTAATATTAATTCAATAATTTTGTATTATTTTCTCGAACAGATCATATGTCGCTAATCGATATGCGGATAAATTAACCAAAATAACGGATAATATTTACTGTTGTCGATCCGGTTCCTCAGCAGATACACAAGCAATTTCAAGTATTGTGACCTATCATTTGGGTTTTCATCAGTAAGTACTCGACTATTTATATATCATTAGATTTATTAAAAGAATATCCCTCTCAATTTAAACCCATTATTCAATAAACCTGTTGTTATATTTAGAGAATTATTTTTATCAAGTAAGTGTTGTACAGCAATTGATATTAAAAAAACCCCCTACAACAAATTGGAGCCAAACTATTTTTATGTTTCCGTTTTTTTTTAATTAAATTCTAAATTCTTCTAGTTTTTTTTAACAAAAATAAACTCTCATTTCTTCTAATTTTTTAAAATTTAATTAAATAGGGAGTAAAATCAGGGAAATGTCAGTAAATAAAATTTCTTGTCAGTAAAGTCAGGGAAATTATAAAAATTGAGACTTTTCGATTTATTTTCAAAAAATGCGACTTTTCCGACTTTGCTTCCAAATATTCAAACAAATTACCACATTTTTTAGTATAAAATGCAACTTATTTTGATTTTTATAGTACGAAAAATAACTATAAACAAATCTTTCAAAAATTATTTTTGAATCATTTTTTAAGATAATTAAATTTTTCAAATATCTATAATAAAAATATTTTTGAATAATTGAAATTTTGTAAAATTTAATTGAAAATAATTCATTTTTTTCAAGTATTTTGTTGCAATTTTTGAAGAATTTTCATTGCAAATTTTGAAAAGAATTGAATTATAAAAAATTGGATTGAAAAATCTTTAAATGTAAATTTAAAAGTGAAAATTAGTTTCTAATTTTTTAAAATTCAATATTTGCAGTATTTTTAATTACATATTTCCGAAAATTCAAATACATACAAAAAACAATAAGATTTTGGAATTATTTTTAATATTTTGGAGAAGAAAATCATGTTCAAAATTTTAAAATTATTTTATTTATATTTATATATAATTATATTATTTGTTTATTTAAATTATTTATGTATAATAATTTCAGAAAATTAATTAGTTTTTTTTAAATGATAAATAACTTCTTTTAAGAAATTCAATTATTTTCGAAAAATTACATTAAAATATTTTTAAAAACTAATTCTTAGAATTGTTTTATTATAATTTTTTAAAATTCAATCACCTTCCAACAAAGTAAATGAAAATTTATAAAAATTTACTTTTTTAGAGTTATGAAAATTTTAGAAAAATCTTGATCATATTTATAATTAAAATTCTTCAAAAATTTGATTATTTTTATTTATATTTTTCAAAAATTCAATTATTTGAATTGTTTGGAAATTTTTCAATTGTATCTAATAAAAAAAAAACAATTTGCCTTTGAAAAATTGTTTTAAAAAATTTTTAGAAAATTAATTGTAATAATTTATTTATTATAATTTTTTGAAAATATTACACCCTAATAAATTAAGAAAAAAAAACATGGACAGTTACAATTATTATAAAAAATTGGGTTTTTGTATTTAAATAATTAAATTCTAGAAGAACTTTCCAAAAAAATTATTTAAAATCATTGTCAGGGAAATTAATAAACTGAAAATTGTGACCGCCCTGTTAGAGAAATTGTATTGAATCTATTATTATATTTGCAATAAATTTGAATTTGAAGAAATAATATTGAAATAATTTTCAGAATGGAATTAGGAGAGCAACCATTGGTAGAAACTGCTGCTAATGTTTTCCGTGAAATTTGCTACAATTATCGTGATTCATTGCTTGCTGGAATTCTCGTAGCCGGATGGGATTCACGAAAGGGAGGTCAGGTGTACAGTGTTCCAATTGGTGGAATGTGTGTTCGTCAACCGATCTCCGTTGGTGGTTCTGGTTCGACTTATGTTTATGGATATGTCGACGCCAATTACAAACCAAACATGACAAAGGACGAATCTATTGAATTGGTTCAAAACAGTAAGTTTTTTTTGTCAGCTATTTTCAAAGTTTCTCATTTCTTTCTGATTTTCTTTAAGTCATTTTTCCCTTAATTAATTTTTAATTTAGAAAAATAATTCTAAGGATTTGTTTTAATTAATAAATAATTTTTCCAGCACTTGCTCTTGCTATGGCGCGAGACGGAAGCAGTGGAGGCGTCATTCGTCTTGGCGTAATCACCGAGAAAGGAATTGAACGCAAAGTAATTCTAGGAAACGAATTACCAAGTTTCTACCAAGAATAAGTACATTAATTTGGTATATTTTGTTAATGAGAATTTCCTCCTAAGTATAAGAACTTTCATTTGGTAAATAAATTTTAAAGCGAAAAAAGAAAATTCATCTCACAAAGAGAAATCAAATTTTAAATTAATTTTAATTTCAATTAAATCATTTTAAAACTTTTTTAATAATTTTTCTTTCCGGTAAGAAAATTTGATTTATAAAAAATTTGATTTATCTTATTAGAGGTGATGGAATTATTTTTCCTAAACGAAATTATCTTCTAATTTGTAAAATTAAGTAGTGGGATAGAAAAAAGATTGTTTAAAAGAATTTATAAGTGAGTATATGCAATAAATGACACGCGACATGGACAATTTGTGTCAGTAGTGAGGAGGAGATGAAGAATTGGATTTCCCGGTGAATGCGGAACATATACACACAGGGGGGTTTAAATTGTCTGACGTCAACGCGTGTTAACGACTCGTCGACCTTGTGTTCTCGATTAGGCAGGTTTGCTTTAAATCGTAGACTCCACTAATCAAAGAAGAGGAATTATTATTCACTTGCGATTGCTCTCTGTGACTGCACGAAACAACTTGACCACTTTAAGTCCATTGTCGTTCAACAAGAAAATTGACTCTCTTTTTAAAATTAATATATACGCAGTGTCGCCATCGCGTTGAACGTACTGCAATGACCCAGGTCATTTCTAACTCCAGGTTATTCTTAACTTGAAAATGGGCGCACTTCGCAGTTCGTCCTCCTCGGACTTAAGGGACACTCGCATTTTTTTCCGCTCCCTACTCTTCTCGTTCATTTTTTCATTTTTTTTTCTTTTCAATCTTCAGTTTTACTAAATTAGTTCTTTCATTAAACTTAGTGAATTGCCATGTTTCATCGAATTTTAACGAATTATTTTCCCCTTAATTTTTTTGAATTTTAGCCGATTTTTCGAACTTTTATTTTTCTATCTAACTAAATATGGTATTTTTCTAATTTAAAAAATTAACAGGTGAGTAAAATAAATTTTTTTTAAATTAAAAATCTACATCATTTTTATTGAATTTTTTTTCCAGAGAAATCTACGATCATCTTTTCGAAATATCTTCTGAATAGAAAAAAATTTTTGTGAATAAAAAAGGAAAAATGGCTTCAGACATGAAATCAGATTCAATAATGTCAGTGGAGCAAATGAGTGTATCGATACAAACGTTTGGAACTGCTGACTATACGATATTTACAATAATGCTCCTCGCTTGCGGTGCAATTGGTATTTATTTTGGTTTCGTGAAAAAATCAATTGGTGAAGATGAATATTTGGTCGGTGGTAGAAATATGAAAACATTACCAGTGAGTCTTAGTTTAATTGCAAGTTTCTTCTCGGGAATTTCACTACTTGGAATGCCAACGGAAATTTATATCCACGGAACTGGATATTTGTGTATAGGCTTTGGTGTAATTATTGTTGGATTCGTGATGTCAAATGTTTACTTACCAGTATTTCATGATCTTAAACTTACTAGCACCTATGAATATTTGGAGAGACGCTTCGATAAGAAAATGCGAATTTTGGGATCTGTTCTTTTCACAATTGGAATCGTAAGTTTCAAAAGAAAAAAAAAAAAAATGTTAAAGAAAATCAAAATTAAATTTCAAGAAATTAATATAAACTTTTTTAATTTTATATTAAGAGAATTTTTAAATTTTATTTAAACGTTTTCAATTTGAATTTAAAGATTTTTAATGATTTTTATTTTTGGGAAAAAATGGATTTATTTTTGAAAAATATAATTTTTTTTTAAATAGATAACGTGGCTTCCAATTGTCATTTACGTTCCAGCTTTGGCTTTCAATCAAGGTAATATTTATATTCATATTTTTAATTACTAAATTTTGAATCAAAATTGCATCTTCGGAAAAAAATTAATTCGAAATTTATAATTTTTCAGTTACTGGAATCAATATTCATATAATTACCCCTTTTGTTTGCATTGTCTGTATTTTTTACACATGTGTGGTGAGTACTGCTTCTTTGGAAAAATTATTAAAAATTACTAATAGAATAATAGTGAATAATAATAATTAATGATAATAAAAATAATAGTAATGAAAATAGTAAAATTAAAAATAGTAAAAAAATAATTATTGATAATAAAAATAATATTAAAAAAGAAGGCAGTAGGCCAAACGAAGAATTTAAGATCTTTTATTTAAATAAATTATTCTATTAAAAATAAAATATTAATTATGCTTAAAAAAATTAATTTTTAAAAAATTTCAGGGTGGAATTCGTGCAGTAGTTTGGACAGATTTCGTTCAGACGTTTATAATGTTTGGAGCAATGTTATTAATTGTTGTTAAGGGCACAGCTGATCTCGGTGGACTTTCAGTGGTGATAATGAGAAATCTCGAATCCGGCAGAATTGAAATACCATCGTAAGTTTTCTTTTTTTCTTCCTATTTCTAAAAAAATATTTTTTTATTTTAAATAAAAAAATTGTTTGTTTAAAAAAAAATTTTTTTTTTCTTTTAAACAGAACTGATTTTAATCCATTCACGAGGCATACAATTTGGGCTTTAGTAATCGGTGGATTTATTCATTGGCTACAAATTTCGGCTGTTAATCAAAATATGATTCAACGTTATTTGGCACTTCCGACACTTCGATCTGCAAGAAGGTAAATAAATAAATATTAAAAATAAGAAAAAAATAAAAAACTTGAAATAAAAAGGATTTTTAATCTAAAAACTTTGAATTTTGATAAAGAAGAGAATATTTTTCATAGCAAAAACATTTTTCTGTTTATAATTTTATTTTCATTTTGAAAATTCAGGCATTATTTTTAATCAATCAATCGTTTTTTTCCTTTTTGCCTCTAAATATTAAAAATAAGAAAAAAAAATTATTTTCAATCTAAAACCTCAGAATTTTGGGAATTTTAATAAAAAAAAATATTTTTCAGAGCCTTGTGGTGTTTTATTATTGGAGCGTTGTGTTTGATTGGCATTTGTGGCTATGCTGGAATGCTTGTATACGCCTGGTATCATGAGTGTGATCCACTGACTACCAAGGTAAGTTTCATATATAACAATATAATAATTCAGTTCCATTAAAATGTTCCATAATTGAGAGCCCCTCGCATTGCCGTTGGGGGATTTCAACATTCACCTTATTGCAATCATTGTATTAATGTTAATGTATATTTGAACACGTGTTTTCTATTCAAATATCATAATTGACAATGATTTTCTCATCTTTTTTCAGCTGGCCAAAGCTAAAGATCAACTTCTCCCTCTTCTCGTCATGAATATTTTAGGCGAATTTCCAGGATTTCCGGGACTTTTTGTTGCTGGCGTTTTTAGTGCTGCTTTAAGGTATCAATTTATTTTTTAATCTTTCTATTGAAATTTTTTTTTTCTGTTGAAATTATTTATTTTACGAATTCGTTTAGAAAAAGTAGAAAATTTATTATTTACGTTTCAAAATTGTATTGAAATAAAATTTATTATTTTCTGAATTCGGTTTAAAAAAATGAAAATATATTGTTTAGGATTTTAAATTTATTTTTAATTATTATAATTTTGAAAATAGTTCTCTATCAACTGGTCTTAATTCAATGGCTGCTGTTATCCTCGAAGATTTTGTAAAACCTTATCGTAAGACTCCATTTACGCCAAGGGGTGCTGATATTTTAATGAAATTAACAGTTATTACTATGGGAATTCTCTGTGTTGGTTTGGTTTTTGTTGTCGAAAAATCGGGAACTCATGTTTTGCAGGTAATTTTTTCGAATTTTAATTAAAACTATTAATTTAATTATTCGTTTAATTTACATTGTAATTTTTTTTCGAACTTTATTATTTATGAATGTAAATTATATATTTTTTCAGTAATAATAAATCTAATAGTACAAATAATAAAGTATAAATAAATATTAATCTAAATTATGCTAAAAATAAATAAAATTTAACGTATATTTTTTTTAATTTTTATTTTATTTATAAATATTATATAAAATAAAATTTTTTAGTTATCGACAAGTTTGAGTGCAATCACCAGTGGCCCTTCTCTGGGAATATTCAGTATGGGAATTTTAATACCATGGATTAACGCAAAGGTAATTTTGAATTTTTTTTTCTTTTAAATTTAAAAAAAAACAAAAGTTAATTTTTGAATTTCTTAGGGCGCTTTAATTGGCGGAGTTTCTGGTTTAGGATTTATGGGATGGATCTGTTTATCCGCGCAAGCAGAGATCGCCAATGGAAACATAATGTAATTTTTCTACTTTTTATCCTCTCTTATTTTTCAAAAGTTATCTTTTGTCTTATTATTTTATTTCTATTTTATTTTTTACTCTAATTAAAAATTTAACTATACGAAAATATTTGCGTTTACTAATAGAAACGTAATGTAATTTTTATATATTCTTTATCCTTTCTTATTTTTTGGTACTATTTTATTTTTTATTTGTCGTGAAACTTCAATTAAACAAAAAATATTTGCATTTTTTGTTAATTTTATTCAATTGAAAAAAATTATTATTTATTATTATTTATTAATTAAATAATTACATTTATTAATTAATTATTAGCACATCTTCAATTTTTGAATTTAACTTTAAAAAGTTTGTGAACGAGAAAAAAATAATTTTAATATTAGAATAATAAGCATTTTTATTCAAAAAATGAAATCATTTCTTTCCCACCAATTTAAAGATTTGATGAGAAACCAGTTAGCACGGAAGGATGCACTTATACGTTTCAAGAGTCGAAGAATCTTTTATTATTGGTGCCACCGGAAATAATAATGGACTCGTAAGAAAATTCTGTCAATAATTGTGTGATACCCTCTTTTTTTCTTAACTGCTCGTAATTTTTTTTAAATTAAAATTAATGTTTTTTAGAGAACCTTGGGCTATTTATCGTTTGAGTTATCTTTGGTACACCGTATTGGGCGCAATGGTTACAATGAGCGTTGGTCTCGGAATTAGTTTAATTTCATCTGAAGATATTACTAAATTAGATCCCATGTTATTGGCACCGTTTATTCGACGATATGTCAAGAAAGATAAACAGAATCTTGACGATGTTAAGGTAAATTTTTATTTTAGTAACAATATGTTTACTTATTATTTACAATTATTTTTTACTCATATTTAAATTACTTATTATTTATTATTATTTTTCTTAATCCTTTGAATATTTAAAACTTTCAAGTATTAAATTTTTATAAATTTTGTATTTATATTTCTTTTAGGTCGCAAAATCAAATTTGAAAGTCAACAGTGCTTTTGAGATTTCCGGCGAAAGTAAAAAAATTCCAAGTACGTGAAAAATAATCACTAAATATTAATAAAGTGATACTGAGTAAATTAAAAATTATTTAAGTCAGCCGCCATTTATACAATTACTCATTATTTTTTACGAAACTGTGATAAACTGAATCAATAATTATAGTAATCTACAAAGTAAGATTTATTAAAAATAGACTAAGATCTATAATAAATATTGAGAAAAAAAAATTATTTCAAGTATAAAAAATTGTTTTAAAAAATTATTTTCGCTTCATTTTGGAGTGTTTTTGCAAGAAATAATTACTAATTTTTTAAGAAATAATTTCACATTTATTTTGTTTAACATTCAACAACAAAATTGTCATTTTCGACGTGTTCTGTTCTTATTTTAGTTTTTAACAATAACAGTACTTTTGCAGTACAAAAGGACATGTTACGTTTTACACAAATAAATAAATATCAATGTAGGTATTTATTTTTTTTTAATGGAAATTTTTTGATTTATAAAAATTAATAATATTACATACCTATATTCAATAACATTTATTTATATATTTTATTTATTTATCATTTTTCTCTCATTTATAACAATAAGTCAAGTTCTTAAATTTAATTTTATTTCTAACATATTCGGTTATTAAGGCCATACCGTGTAAAAATAATCAAAAATAGTCGCTCGTAGACAAATCAATTGTTCAGTAAAATTATTCAAAATTTCTCACGTAAATTACAGTGGAGTTTTTCTTTTTACATTTCAAAGAGAAATATTAATTTATTAATATTAAAGAACAATGCAATTTACGTCAAGAAACTTTGAAGTTTACGCGTGGACATTGATGAAAATAATCTAAAATAAAACCGATATATCATACGCACAATAAAATATAAATCCTGAGATATAACTTCATCAACTCTTTATCATTATTTAAGAATAAATTTTCAAATTTATATTTTGAAGAAACAAATTTTATTCAAAAAACGAAATTACTGATATAAACATTAATTTCGTATTACTCTATTAATTAGAAAAATAATTACTATTTAATTTTATAGAGACGGATCAATCGTTTTTTAATAATAAATAATAAATTATAAATAATTATATTTATAATAAATTATAAACTAATATGTAATGGAACAAATCCTTGAAAATATAAATCAAATATTTTTTTTCTGAAATTGTATAAAATATGTATTAAAATCAGATAAAGAAAAATTTTTTTTCTATAACACGGCAGATTTTTTTTAACACTTTTAATTAGTTTTAATAATTAATTGAGTCCTTAATAATATCAAATCGGCAACTGAATGTTGTCTCTTTAATCGTCATCTCGTTTTTCCACAATCACCATTTTGTGCAATTAAAAATTACTTTTCATTCTCATGGCCTCAATTTGTAATTATTGAATGAAAAATAAAAAAATAATAATTTAAATTTCGATTATTGGCACATTGTGAGTTTTTTGTGTCAACGTTCAGTTTTTAGATTATCATTACAGGAAGCGGTAATAAAATATAATTACTTTTGGTTGATTGATTCTAAATATAATTATTAATTATTTTTTCTCTAAAATATTCTCTAGTTATGAAAATATTTATAAATAAAAATATTTCTAAACTGCGGAATAAGAAATTTTGTGCGCTTTTTAATTTAAAAATTGCTTTAATTATTTTATTATTTTCGTAAAATTCGTAAAATATTAAAACTTCTAGTAAATATAGAAAAATATCCTGAAAATTCTAAATATTGTAGAAATTAAACTATTTGGCTTAATTTGTTCGTGTATTCATTTTCATTTTTTTTTTTAATATGGCCCCTTGATTATTTTTATACCGAACGTCGACACGACGGAAATCTTTCCAATGTCGCCTCGGAATTTCAACATTAGAATTACAAGAATTTATAATTTAATGTAATTTTTATTCTATTGAATAGATTTACATTTTTGTTAAACGTGAAAAAATGGAATTGATTGAAGTTTATAAAAATATATCAATTTTTTGAATTTTCCTTTTTCAAAGAATTTATTTTGCGGATTCTACTAAAATTAACGATAATTAGATATTTTTCTATTAATAATTATTTCTATTATTTATTATAATTCTAATACATATTAGAAATATTTAAATTATAAATATATAAATATATTACAAATATTTAAATATGAAATATATTTATAAATATATTATAAATATAAGTAAGTATATTTAAATATATAAGTATAAATTTCTCTTTAAAAGTTCTGAGGTGACATTATGTAAAATTGAAATCCTTACAAAAATTCATCCAGACATTATTATTATTACTTTCATTGCTATTATTTGGTAATAATAAACTATTATCAATATTATTTGGTACTCCGCAACATATGGAATGAAAATGAATTAATATTTATCCTGCACTTAATTATATTTTGTGAAATAAATTTTATTCACTTAAATTGAAACCGAAAGTGCAAGTTATAAGGTATTAAACTCCATTTTGTTTCCTTAAGTTCTTTTTCCTCACCATGCTCCAATTCGGCTTATACTGCAACTAGACAAGCCATAATACATTCATTTTGCTTTTCTTCAAGAAAAAAAAGCATCAATATTAATATGGTAATTATACTTTCAAAATTCTAAAAATAATTATATTTTAAATGAGTATTTTTTTCAAGTAATACAGTAAACACTCTTTTAATTAACCTGTAAAAATAGGAATTTAAAAATTATTAAAAGTGTAGAATATAGAAAAAAGAAATAATAAAATAAGAATAAAAAAAATTATTCTCTTCAAATAAATTTATTTATTCTTATTATTAATTATATTAATTATATTAATTATATAATTTAATAAATTAAAATTTATTACGTTAAAAAACACCATTTTTTTCGATAACAAATTACTTTTAAAAATAGTTTCAGGAAAAATATCAAAATCTTAAATATCCAAAAATAATTAGGAAATTTAGATTAATTTTGTTTCAGTTAATTAGAGAATGATTATTTATTAAATTATTATAATATCCAGGTAGTTGATGTCTGCTGAGGAAAAATGATGATGTTGATAAAATGTCTGTGTAATTATCGAAAAATTAACACTTTTGGTTTTCATCAGCTTTTCCTCCTCTCTTGTCTGAAAGGAATTTTTTATCTATAAAATGATTTAAAAAGTCATTACCAAAAAATTTCGAAATAATTTACATCCATTCCTGTAGATTCTCTTGCAATTTAAATTAACTCCTCTCGAGAAAATAAAATATTTTAGATTGCATTCTAAAAATTTCCAATTTTATGGTAAAGACTTGTTGGAAAAAAAAGAGAAGGAAAACAAGAAGAAGAAGAAGAAGAAGAAGAAGAAAACGATTTTAATACCTTTGAAAACTAACACGCTGTCCTTCGTCGCTTTGATCAACATTATTGTCATCATAATCAATTTCCTCCTCGAGTTTTAGCCTCGCCTCAAAACCCTCCAATTCCAAATCGGTATAAAGTTGATTAAGTTGTTCACGAACGAGAGCCGGCTGTGTCATGCTCATTAACGCCTTCATGTCAGTGTTTAAAACATCCTTTAGCGATTTCTCTGGTATTTGATATTGGTAGATCAATGCCGGCGACATTTGAACTCCCTTCAGCCACGGTGGTTCCTTTCTCAGCATTTCCGGTCGCGATTGTTGCTGCTCCCGTTTTTGATTATCCTGCTGGTGTTTTTTCCACCAAATTAATACTTGTGATTCAATGCTGTCATCACTATCAAAAGATCGGCGTCCATAAGGACGCCTTTTACTATCGATTGATAAATTTGATTGAAACTAAGAGATAACAAGAGATTTTTATTTACGTTTATTTTTTCATTTTTTCTTTAAACAAACTTTAAACCGAAATCTAAAATTACATCCTCTACTTCTTTTGGGGGGAAGAAAAGTGAATTAATTTTTTTCTCCAATAAAAAAAGGAGATTTTTAAAAAACATTATTTTTAGTTTTTTTACAGTTTTAAATTTTCTTTTTAAAACTATAAATTGGTTAATGATATTTTTTTTTGGGAATAAATTAAAAAATTTCCAACCTGTGGATTAAATCCATACGATCTTGAACCAGAATTACTATTGGACTCCATACTTTTACTAAGAAAACTGCTGTAAAAACTTGAAGTACTAGAACCTTCTATTGATTCCTTCTTGTACGAATTCGTCTCCATGTCTGTTATCTAAAACAAAAATTTTAATAATTTAAATTCAACTTTAAAAAAATGCAATGTACTAGAAAATTTTTCAAAAACCAAATTTCACCAGAATGTTTAATTAAAATTAATTAAAAGAATATAAGTAAAAGATCAACCTTTTTCGAAGACGCAAAAATAGACGTGGAGCTGACTAATTTTTCTTTAGTAGACGCTGATAAATTGTTAGAAGCTTTTTGTTGAAGAGAAGATTTTTCTTCACTAGTTTGAGGTAGTTTCAATTCACTGGGTGATGAATCGGGAATTAAAAATTGTTTACAAACAGAAGTAACTGGCACTGAAAGCGGAAGATTCGTAGGATAAAAGACATCAGGAATTCCTGCTCCTTTATAAGGCACTAAAGAAATAAAAAAAAAAATCGTTTAAATACATACTAAATTAATATTAATAATTTTAATTAATATTCATTAAATTATTAAGTTTACAAATATTTAAAATAAACAGGGTTGCCACAAAAATTTAATTTTGTTTTTCCCTGATTTCTAGACAATAAAATTTAACTTTTTCTTTAATTAAATATATATTAGAAAATAAAGAATTTAAATAATTATAAAAAAATTCAAATAAACTCTTTCAAAAAAATTAATTTTACTGAATTGTTAGTTAAAAGTATGAAAAATTCAAATTTTTAAAAAGATTTTAATTTGAAACCTTTTCAAAATTCAATTATTTATAAAAATTCAAAATTATTATCTAAAATTTTAACCAAAAATCATTTTTAAATCAATTTTTAGATAATTGAATTCTTTTGACGAATTTTAATAAAATTTTTAAAAATAATTATATTTTTCGAGGAATTTGATTAAAATTGTATTAAAAATAATTAAAATTCTCCGATGAATTTTATTATTTATGAAAATAATTGAATTCCTACAATGAATTTTATTATTTATAAAAATAATTGAATTATTGCGAAGAAATTTCTAACAAATTTGAAAATAATTGAATTTCTGCAAAAAGAGTTATATTAAAGTTAAAAAATAATTGAATATTGTTTGGAAAAATTTTATTAAAATTAGAAAATAATTCAATTCTTGCAAAGAATTTTATTAAAATTTAGAAAAATAATTGAAGTGTATCGAAGAACTTAATTAATTTTAAAAAATAATTGAATTATTGACCAAAAATTTATAAAAAATTTAAAAATAATTGAATCCTGGAAAAAGAGTTATAAAAGTTAAAAAATAATTAAATTGTTTGAAAAAATTTTATTAAAATTAGAAAATAATTCAATTCTTGCAAAGAATTTTATTAAAATTTAAAAAAATAATTGATGTGTATCGAAGAATTTAATTAATTTTAGAAAATAATTGAATTCCTGTGAAGAGTTTTATTATCTATGAAAATAATTGAATTTATGCCAAGAAATTGATTATTTATGAAAATAATTGAATTCTTGCAAAAAAATTTAATTAAAATGTTTTAAAATAATTGAATTTCTGTGATTGAGGGAAATTTTTAAAAATAATTGAAATTTTGCCAAAAATTTTTTATTTACATTTGACATTTTGACGCAAATTTTTTTTAATTTTTGATAATAATTGGATTTCTGCAATATTATTTGTAACTTCTCTAAAATTCAATTATTTTAAGTGTTTTTAAATAAAATTCATCTACAAATCCATTATATTAATAATTAATTAATATTCAAAAATTTAACTCTTTTGAAATTCAATCAATTTTGAAATAGTTAAGTAAAATTATTCATTAAATAATTTCTAAGTAATAATTTTACAATAATTCTTCAAGAATTAAGTTATTTAAAGGGAAATTATTGTCAGAAATAGAAAAAAATTGAAGGTTTTAAATTAAAATTCGTGGTAATTTCATAATTTATGTGTCAAGCCTGATAAAATTTTTAAGTGAAGAATAAAATAAATTACTGTTTTAAATTATAAGAAAACTTTTCTCTTACTGCATGAATTTTGTTGCATCATATGTGTTGAATGCGGCAGTGTTTGAGTATTTTCATTTGACTTTCTTCTCAAGCATGGATTTTGATTTTGACTTATTGTAAAATAATTGTAACAAAGTGATGAAATTAAGGGATTTAGCGGCATCGATGGAACCGTCGAACTGAAACAATTATTAAAAAAATAAATACAAAATCTAAATTAATTAAAACTGAAAAGAAATCAAAAAAATTATAATTTACCTGGTGGTATTGATGCTAGGTACTGAGATTGAATGAGGTGACCATAAATTCGTATTTGTTGAGACGTTCGTTTGTTCATTGTTTAATGGCTTTGGCACTGTATTATTTAAACTTAATGGAACAGTTCCATTAATTGGTTCCATTTTACAGACTTTTTTTGGTACCTATTAAATGTGGTTAACAAATATTTATATTAAATATTTATTCATCAAATATTAATATAATCAAATATTAAATATTCACAACAAATATTGTAATATATCTGAAAACAAAATTAAGTACTTTGTGACTTTTATCTCGGCTATTGCTTCTTCGTCTTTTGATTCCATGTTCAATAGAGGCCTTAATTTCTTGTTCCTCATCTTTGGCTTTTACTCTTGATTCCTTAAGTTTATCACTTTTTTTAATATTAGACCTAAAGATTTTGTGTTTTTGAACCATCATTTTCTCCATGTCCTCATTGTGTTTATTTAACAACGATACAGTCAGAATTGGTAGTTCTCCATAAGTCTTTTTTCCCATTGTATTAGAATTTAATTGACTATTAAAACCATTGCCACTGTCGCTTCCACTTTGTCCACTCTCTCCATTTGGCGACATGTATTTTCTTTCTGTAACAATCCAAACATTTTATTCAATATAAATTCAAATATAAATAATTTAAACTTATTAATTATTAAATTAATTAATTATTAATATAATTTAATAATTTAATAATTATTAATTATTAAAAATAATTTTGAAGCTAAAGAAAATACGAACCAGAGGAATTATCTTTCTTGACAGTTTCGTCTCCGCTATTTCCTGTGGTGTTGTCCTCATAGCTGCCGTAATTTGCCGTCCCCATTGGATTGCTTTTGAAAAATCTTTGCATATTTTCGTTGTAATTAAGTTGACTGTAACTTGGAGGTGTTTCCGTTGACGATTTGCTGTCCTCATATTCACGATGTGGTGAGATTCCTCCGAGAATTACACTTTCGTGCTCCTGTAACATGGGTGGTCCCTTCACAGATGTTTTATATAGATACTATAATGTACATATAGATTACTTCGATACAAGTTTTTTTTAATTTTTCTATTTTTCTACTTTTTCTCATTCATTTATTTATTTTTTATTTCGATCAAGTATTATTAAAAAGTAATATTTCGATCAAGTATTTTTAAAAGTAATATTTCGATCAAGTATTTTTAAAAGTAATATTTTGATCAAGTATTTTTAAAAGTAAAATTAAGTAAAGTATTTTTAAAAACGTGATTTATTAGTGCGCCCATTTTAAAATTTCCAGTGTCTCATTTATTACTCCCTTATAATCATCACAAGTCTAAAAAATCTACTTGCGTTTTAATTCACTAAGAAAAATTTTTGCCAAATTTTCAATGAATTATTATTGATATTATTAAATACTTGATATAATATAATATTATATAGTTTTTAATCACTTATGAAAAGCAATTAAAATAATTAGGTACTTTCGACCATTTTTTTTAACGTAAAAATTCTACTCTTAGGAATTAAAAATACATTTATTTTTCTGCAAGACACTGTGTTCGATTGGAAATTTGTTTGAAAACTTTACGAAAGATACCAAAATTCATCTGGCAAATCAACTTTTATTTTTATTAACTTTTACTTATTTATAAAATTATTTTTTTCTATAAAATAATTTACGAAGATTTTCAAAAAAAATTTTTTTTTAATAATTTAATATTGAAGTAATTAAATTTATTTAATATTTAGTACTATTAATTATTTAACATTTAATACTATTAATATTTTTAATTTTTAATTTTCAATATTTAATATTATTAATAATTGTTACTTTTTATATTTAAAATATTTCTTTGATATTATTTTTATTTTTATAAAATTTTGATAAATGTTCAAATTTTCTCAACTGAGAATTAATTTGTCATCCTTTTGTATTTTTTTTTATATAAAGAAATGTAAAATATTGTAAACAAGTTATGTATTATATTCTTTTGTATAATAGAATGAAAAGAATATTACAGAATTGGAAAATTTATTTTTTTAAAGAAAAATAATTTTCGAGAATGCAAAAACGCCTTTATGACTTTTATACTATTTTTAAAAACGATGAATGTGTGGAACCTTACGTATTTTCTTTTTTTTTCTTATTGAAAAATTAAAAACTAATTTATTCTTTTCTGTTTTTTCTTTTTAAATTTGAAAAATTAAAAATTAATTAAAACAAATATAAACGAAAATTTTAAGAAGAGCTACAAAAATATACATGTAAAAACAGAAGCCAATGGTTTAATTATAACTTTTGAAAAAACAATGGTAAAATTTTCTTTTTGGTATAATTTTTTACCTAAATAGAAAAGTTTAAGATATATATTTTACTTGTATATTTTATGCACTGTAACAGATGTAAATGATACAACTTACCTAAATTTTTTTCTACAAGAATTTGAGATTTACCTTTTAAACTCCCTCGCGTGTTTTTAATTATTTTCTTTGCCCTTCGACATACATTTTAATACCTAGGATTCTCCTTAAAAATCATTTAAGCTATGTAGAGCAGTATGTAAAAAAATGTTAATAAAATTAGAAAATTAATAGAATTTTTTGTGCAAAAAGCACTGATATAATAATAAACAATTACTGTAATTTAAAAATTAATTAAAAAATTTTTTTATTACCCGCTTTTCTATTTTGAATGAAAAAAAAAGAAGAAAAATTGTTGGCACTGTTAAAAGAGTATAGAAAAAAAGGAATAAAAAAGAATTAAAAAATATAATTTTTAACAGCACCAACAATTATTATTTTTAATTGATAAAAATTGACAAAAAATGAGAATGTAATTATTTAATTTCCAGACCCACTGATCCAGAAGCATTGAGAACTTTTCGCTCATTTAATCATCCATTGTCCGAAGAACTACACGAAATTTGTGATATAGCACAAAAGTTAAAAAGGCGTTTTTACAAACAAGATATAGGAATGAAGAATTGTGCTTTTTGAATATTAAACAATTTTTGAAAATTGATAATTTAAAATTCAAAATTAATATTTAACGTTTAAAAATTAAAAGTGAATAAAAAATTTGTCATATCATTTTACATTCTCAAAAAAGAGAAAAGCATCTTTTTTCAATGCTAATATCCTTAAAAATAAACGTAGAGTGAGAGAACGAAATTTCTGATCGCTTCATAATAAAAAATAGATCTTTGAGTCTGTTAAATATGTGATTATTGAATTTCGTACTAATTTCAATAACAAACACAAAGTATTTCCAACAAATTTGTCTAACTTTCCTTTATGAAAATTTGCTAGAAAACTGTTTAAAAAGAAATTTAAAAGACACTTTTTCATTCTGCACATCTCGAAAATTTTTTCTTTTTATTTAATTAATTAATTAATTTTTTTCAGGTTAATTTAAATTAATTAAACTTAATTTTAATATAAAAATGCTTATTTCTTTATTTCTAGATATGCAGAATTTTTTTTTTACTATATACAAAAAAAATAGAAAAAAAATGGAACCAAAGAAAAATAGTTGAACGTACCTCCATGAAGGACGCACCATAAAAAATCGCGAATAAAATTGTTCGTTAAATTTACTCTAATTTGCATAATTTTTTTTTTTTGTAAATAAAGTATTTGATTTTAAATCGTCGCTACTAAAACGTAGTTAATAGTCACCGAAAAACTTCGTGCATTCACTGCTGTGTCCTTAATACTTCTTGATGAAAGAATCTCTTGAAAGAGAGAAACTATGAGCGGCACTAGATATTTACAACTATTGTTGACTTCCTTTTCATTTTTCTCTATCTCCTAAAAAAAGAAAATTTATATAATTTAAATATACAATGGAAATTTAATTACATTATTGACTAGCAAATGTTACAAATTTTTAATTATTTTAAATTAAATTTAAATTTATTATATAAATTAATATTTTCAATACAATTCTTCGAAACAATTCAATTTTAATTATTTTCAAAAATTTCAATATGATTCATCACACGAATTGTATTATTTTCAATAAATAATAAAAGTCTTCGCATGAATTCAATTATTTTTGGTTCAATTTTTTTTACAATTTTTTCGAAAGAATTAAATTATTTTTTAAAAAACTTTTATTAAAATTAAGAGAAGAATTCAATTATTTTATAAAAATATTAATAAAATTCAATAATTAAATTTTTAATTACAATTATTAAGAAATACGGTTACTTTAAAAAATTGAAAGGCATTTTCGTAAAATTCAATTACTTTCAAAATTTTCAATTAGAATTAAAATTTCTCAGAAATTCAATTATTTTCAAAAATGTTTGTAAAATTCTTTATGAGAATTTAATTCTTGGCAATAAAACTGTAATTGAATGCCTCGAAAGAATTGAATTATTTTCAAAAATTTCCAGAAAATTCTTCAAAACTATTTAATTTTTTTCAAAAATTTTAATAAAATTCTTATGTAAGAATTACATATTTTATAAAATTAATAAGAAAAAATTAATAAAATTCCTTATTTAAATTTAATTATTGTCAACAGTATTCTTAAAAAAAATTCAACTATTTTCAAAATTTAAATATAATTTCTTGAATTAATTTAATTATTTTAAAAAATTGTAATAGAATTTAAAGAAGAATTCAATTATTATAACTAAAAATTTTAATAAAATTCAATAATTAAATTTTTAAAATAACAATTCTAACAAACAGGATTAATTTAAAAACTTGAAAGAAATTCTTCAAAACAATATAATTATTTTCAATAATTTTAATAAAAATTCTTCGTAAGAATTCAGTTATTTTCATAAATAATAAATTTCTTTGCATAAATTCAATTACTTTCATAAATAATAGAATTCTTTGCAGAAATTCAATTATTTTCTAACTTTAATCAAATTTTTCGATACAATTCAATTATTTTCTAAAATTCTAATTAAATTCTTCTCAGATATTCAATTATTTTTTAATATTAATAAAATTCTTCGAAACAATTCAATTTATTTTTAAAAATTTCAATTAAATTTTTCGCAAGAAGTCAGTTATTTCCATAAATAAAATTAATCACAGGAATTTAATTATTTTCTAAAATTGTAATAAATTTCTTCCAAAGATGTCAATTATTTTCAAAAATTTTGATAATAAGAATTGAATTATTTTCAATACATTAATTTCACAAATTCAAAAATAAAAATAACTAAACTAACATTTAAATAAAAAAAAAATCATTGTTACCTCTTGCAAGAGAGTTAAAATTTCCTTCTGAATAATTGCAGCATTATTCAGCACTACATCACTAAAGTTGATTGATTTATCTGATTCACGAAAAATATTTGGATCCACGGGTCCTTTAATGACTCTATGTTGTCCTTGAATATGTTCAAGTTTCCTTGTCCACGGATTGATGTAGGCGGTCCAGTCAGTCTCAAGAACAACGAAATCACCGTTTTTGATAATAAATCTGTAGGGCTTTGACTTGTAGGAGATTCCATCGTGTGTCAATACCTATTTGATAAATATAAAAAATAATAAACATTGTTATAATTACATGTTGTTTCAATTTTTTTTTTACGACGCTTATTTTCTTCTCATTTCTCCTTCTCTTTATAATTTCTTAAAAGCAGGGAAAACGATGTCCAAATTGGAAAAAATCAAAAATAGAAATTAAAAAGGAAAAAATTCTCTATTTGTATTTTTTTAATTTATTGTATTTAATTTATTTATATTTTTTGATTTTTTAATTTGAAATTCTCAAAATAAAATTTTTTAAGTACAAAAAGTTATAAATACGATTTAAAAGAAAAGAAAATAAAAAATTAAAGTTTGAAAATAAAATAATTTTAAATAAAATTGAAAAATTAAAAAAAAAAAAAAAATGAAAAAATTTTGAAATACAAAAAAGGTCAATTTGACAATTTTAGAAATACAAAAAATGAGAAATAAAATTTTTACTAGTAATCAAATGAAAATGGAAAAAAATTTGGACATCCTGCTTCGACGCCTATAGAAGCCTAAAACAAATATTGAATTTGGGTTTTCATTTGGTTTTTTTGATAGTGATTTAAAATTTTACACATATATATAAATATAAATATAATAATAAATTGATAAAAAGAAGTATCAGTCAATTGGGCTGAAGTCATATTGTCTCATGCTCACAGTCTTATAGACGTCTTTGATGAAAGGCAGATCCTCAGGATGATAGAAGTCAAATAGCGAACGGCCAATCATATCCTGTGGTAGATAGCCCAAATATTGGACTACTTCAGGATCGACGTGGGATATGTGGCACGTTGCCGTATGATGGGTCGTGAATATTGAAGATAATATTGTTTCTTCTGATTCTGTAGATAACGCGAATTTAGGAAAAAAAGCCGAGTTATGCTTATGTTTTCTTTTTCAATTTTCACTTGTGAAATCTCGAACGTACAGCGCAAAAATAATTACCCAAAAAAAAAAAAATTAATTCTCTCATAAACAAAAATATTTATCCACTTTTTTTCAATTTTCAAATTATTTCCCATAAAATAAATTATTATCATTCAAAGAAAATTTTCATTTCGAGTATTTTTCTATTTAAAAAAAATTATCATTTTGCGCTATTCGAATCAATTTCGTTAATTAATCCTTCGAGGAAGAAAGGTTGACGAGTTATTTAATTTTCAAAAAAAACTTTTTCTAATTACGAAAAACAAAACTGAGACCTGCTAAACTTTTATTCCGTAATTCTTTTATTTTCTTTCTTCAAACTATTTTTTAAACGAGAAAAATTTCTTTAGAACTAAAATTACTTTTCTGAAAATATTAATATTTCTATAGAATTGTATAAGTTTTACAGAATAAATATTCAAAAATGAAAGAGTCAGATCGTAAATAAAAAAGAACTGATTACAGCGAGTGTTTTAAGAAAATTGCAAAGAGCATATTGTCTCGAGCTCTTTTTGAAGAAACGTGTATTTTATGTTTTATTGTTACTTTCTACTTCTATTCCTTTTTCTTATTGATTATTGACAATTTTCCACTTGAGGATTTAAATTTAATTTTTCCCTTTTTTTTAGATTAATTTTTCCCCTAGAAAAAAAAAATTTCTCCAATAGTATAAATTACACGTTTCAAAGTTTTCCTTGAAACAGTAAATTGCAATGGATCTTTTTGATTGACAAACTTACCCCAAAAAAGAAGAGGTCTCAGCTACGCCTAAAATAAAAAAGCGATTATCAATATAAAAATTTCTCTATTCCTTTTAATTTATGTGAAAGTAAATTTACCTAAATTCTGTTTTTGTTTTTTGCGGAAAAAATTGACAAAAATTTTACTTACTAAAAATGACGATTAGAATATTTTAGAAAAATTGATCTATTTTGAAAAAAAAAAATTCCCATTGAAATTCTATTTTTTCTTATTCTGTAATATAATTTTTGAAGATTAGTATAACGTACCTAGATAAAAAGTTTATTGAACTTTTTTTTTAGTGATTATCAGTAATTAATATAGATATTAATAATTGTTAATAATACTTTCTCATATGATGAGAATGTAAAGAAAATTCTTTTCTTTTTTTCTCGTCGTCCAATCTAGCCTCGAAGAACTTTTAAATTTTCTACCCCTTTTACCTTTGTATGCAGATTGAACTGATTGAGCCTTTACCACTAGGAACATGTTTTCATATTGTTCTTCGTCAACACGATTTTGTAAATTTTTTACTGTCAACGTCAGATTAAATGGTTCACAATGATTTTGATTGACAGAAACTGAATCTCGTTTAACATCGAAATCTTCCTTATATTGTAGTTTACAGAATAATGTCACTTTTGCCTCACTGTCACCTAGTTAATGGAATAAATTTCATGTCATTATTTTTTTTATTCGTTTTTAGATTCTCATCATAATTTTCTAATTAAACGACTTTAATTTAATTAAATATTTTCTAATGTGATTGAATATATTTCTTTTTTGATTTGCTAACAGGGTTGTCACAAAAATTTGAATTTTCCTTTTCCCTGACTTTCTCCTGATTTCCAGAAAAATTTACGAAAAAAATTAAATAGTTTTGAAGAATTTTCTGAAAATTTTTGAAAATAATTAAATTCTTTCGAGGAATTCAATTATAATTTTATTGACAATAATTAAATTCTAATAAAGAATTTTATTAATTTTTTATTTTTTATTAATTTTATAAATTCTTGCATGGAATTTGATTAAAATTTTTGAAAAAAATTAAATAGTTTTGAAGAATTTTCAGGAAATTTTTGAAAAAAATTAAATAGTTTTGAAGAAATTTCTGAAAATTTCTGAAAATAATTGAATTTCTGAGAAGAGTTTTATTAAAATTAAACTCAAAATAATTGAATTTATTTGAAAATAATTGTATTTTTGTGAAGAATTTATTACAATTTAAAAAAATGTAATTCTTTCGAGAAATTTTATTGTAATTGAAATTCTTCGAAGATTTCTATTATTTTTGAAAATAATTGAATTGTTTTAAAGAATTTCTTTCAAGATTTAAAATTAATAATCGTGTGTGTTAATAATTTTAATTATAAAAATTTGATTATTGAATTTTATTAAAATTTTTAGTAAATAATTCAATTCTTTTCTAAATTATTTTAAAATTTTGAAAATAATTGAATTTTTTCCAATAATGCTATTGACAATAATTGCATTCTTTTGAAGTATTTCTTTAATTTTTAGAATAGAATTGATTTTGTTAATAATTGTAATTTATGATTTCATTATTAAATTTTGTCAAAATAATTAATAATAATAATAATTAAAAAATTGAATTCTTTTACAGAATTTCATTACATTTTTTTTTAAATAATGTAGTTTTTTATATAATTTTAATTGAAAATTTTGAAAGTAATTGAATTTCACAAAAAATATCTTTCAAATTTTTAAAATAACCATTTTTGTTAATAATTATTGTAATTAAAAATTTGATTATTGAATTTTATTAACATTTTTAGGAAATAATTGAATTCTTCTTTAAATTTTATTAAAACTTTTGAAAAATAATTTAATTCTTTCGAGAAAATATTAAAAATTGAACTAAAAATAATTAAATTTCTTCTAAGACTTATTATTTATGAAAATAATATATTTTCTTGCAAATTTTTTCTACGATTTTAATCAAAATTATATTGACCATAATTTAATTTTTATACAGATTTTTATTAAAATTAATAGAAAATAGTTGAATTCTTTCAAGAAATTTTATTAAAATTGAATTTCTGCGAAGAATTTTTCTATTTATGGAAATAATTAAATTGTTTTGAAGAATTTTATTTATATTTTTGAAAATAATATATAATATTAATTAATTAGTAAATAATTTAATTTTTTTAATTTCTGAATCAATTAATTCTTTAAAGTTCAATTATTGTTAGAAAATTAGAAATATAAACAATTTAAAGTCAAATTGATTATTTTCTTTTTTTCACAAAAAAATTCAGAATTTTCTTATGTATTCTAGAAATTTAATTTGTTTCCAGTACTTTTGATAAAATTCCCTGACTTTTCCCTGACCAATTTTAATTTTCCTGACTTTTCTCTAAATTTCCTGATTTCCCTGACCTGTGTCAACCCTGAAATGATTTAAATTTAATTAAATATTTTCTAATTAAACGATTTAAAATCAATTAAATATTTTTTAATCCGATTGAATATTTTTGTCTTCTTTGATTTAAGAAGACAATTTTTTAAATTTTTAAAAGAATAAATAAAGGAAATTTGAAATCTTACCGTAATATAATTCCTGATAGGCAATTATGATTTCATTGACACGATTAAAGAAAACCTCCTTGTCACTGGGATGAATTAATTCGAGAAAAGATTTCTTCTTCCAATCGTCCTCCGAGTAGCCAAGTGCTCCGCTAAAAGTTGTGTAGACGACCAGACCCTTTCGCATGGAAATTACCAAAGTAAATTTGTCCTGCATAAGAACATAAAAATAATATGAAAATCCAATCGAAATTCTTTCTTATCGAAGAAGCCATTCGCCTTCAATTTCATCAATTTTTCCACAAATGTAGTTTTTCAATTTTTCTTTTTTACTCTTCTTTCAATCTCTTTTACTCTTTTTTCACTTTTACACGTGCTTCTCGGATAAAACTCTACTCTTTTTTATATACACGGCGCAAAAACCTATTTTTTTAACTACAAATTATCTTTTTTTTTTTTTTGGGAGTCAAAAATTCGTTGCTTTCAAATAAAGCAAAAACTCGACGGTGTATCAATTCAGAAGTCGTCGAGAGTTTTTTTTTTACCTATTTATATTGAAAAAAAATACCTTCTCATTATGAGAATATAAAAAATTCTAAATATTCTTTGTAGAATTATTCTCATATACATATAAGGGAAAGAGGATTATTTTCTACTTTTTTTTTAATTACCCATTTCTTTTCGCACCGTATATATCGTGTTGCACACTGCTTTTTCGGGATAATTAGGCAAAAAAAAATACTAACATTCGTTTGAAAGTTGTAATCATCCTGAGAATTGATTTGAGGATCAAGTCCAGCTTCATAATCGGAGACCAATTTGTCGTTGGGTTGTCTGGTATCCGTGATGTCCATCATTTCTACAACTGCTTGTTCATCTTGTTTTCATTAAAAAAAAAATTGTTACACTTTCTCTAAATTTTTACAAAATCAAAACTTTTTGTTTTGTTTTTTTAAACAGGGAAATAAAGCAGCTATTTATTTATTTCATTCGTTTTGAAATTGAAAAAAAAAATGAATTCCACGATCAGTGCGGTAAGACTTTGTCTTGTATATTTTTTGCATAAGAATTTTCTTTCTACTTCTGTCCCAAAAGACATGTTTAATATTTTTTAATTTATCAAATAACCGCATATAAACATAATTATAGTATATGGTTTCAAAAATTTGTGGACTTTGAAATATTTTTTTTTAATATTTGACATTTTTCCTTTCTTTTAATAATAAACGTTGTTGAATGAAAAAATAACATATTTTTATACCCATAAATGTTATATAATGAGATTAGATCAACTCATCTTTTTTTTTCACAACCCAAAAACAATGTATAATAACAAAAATAACTTTATCAATTGAAATTATTGTGAGATTGCTCCAGAAAACGGGCATGTCATGTAATCGACATTCAGAATCATTTTCACTTCCTCTGTGGATATAATGGAAACTTATGCAAAATATTACGCAAGGATCGAAAAAACACGTTTTGTTCTCCACAAACCAGATTGACAACATTCATATTTATATTTATTTATATAGTTACCCTTCAATATTAAAGGGTAATTAATTTTAATTATAATTATTTTTGTAATTACTTACAATATTTTTAATTGTCAGCAATTAATATTTAAGCAATTACGGAATTTACAGAAAATTAATGACTGCTAAAAATAAATGTCATGTACAAAGTTGAGAGAATTAAAAAAATCAAATTGAATCATTTACCTTAATTTTCACTGTCAAGAAAATTTTTCAATTTTTTTCTTTTGAATTTTTTTCCATGAATTTCAAATTTTTCTGATTCATCAAAATCGCTGCGAATATATTACAAATTTTTCTATTTTCTTGAGTAAATAAAATTATTGTTAAAAAAATTATTTCTATAATTGATTCTTAAAATTAGATAAATAAAATAGTAATTTACAATTTAGTTCCAATTATTTATAAATTAAAAAATACAAAAAATTTAAAAATCGCAAAATTTCAAATTCGTGGACAAATTTTCACCTCATTTCAAAATTTTGTAATAACAGATTTTACAATTGTTTTCTATAATTCCAAATGTCGTTATTCTGTCCATATATTTAAAATGTCCCGAAAAAATTGTCTCTTCATTTTTAATAACACTCACTATATTCATAAACGAAAAATTGAATAAAATGTTTTTCAAAAATAATTAGATATTCATATTTATTCACAAATGATACAAAAATTCTTTTTCAATAAAATAAATATGAACCGAATAAAAAAAACCTCTTTCGATCGTGAAATTAACAAAAATTAAGTTTTTGAAATAAATAAATATTAATTCAATAAAAAAAATTTTCTTTGACAATAAAATAATAATTTTCTTAAAAAAAAAACTTTTTTTATAAATATTAATTTGAAAGGAAAATAAGAATTGACAGTTACAAAAATAATTCACAATGCCATTGTTCAATCCCCTTTTGAAAGAGTTATTTTTCCCTTGACATTTAACTACCTATAAAATGGAAAATAAAAATAAACTATATATGTATTAATTGAGAAAATAAATAGAGTGAGTGAAAGTAAAAATTCTATTATTTAAAATTTTACTTTAGCTGCAGAAAATAATTTTTTTTTAAAAAAATATTATTCTAAAAATAATTATAAAGGGGAAGTGGCGGGGACAATTAATTAAAAAGCTCGGGAATTAGTGCAAGATACCATTCGAATTTAATAAACAAAATTTTTCGTTTTTGCAATAGCAATTAATTTTTTCAACACTTACTAATAAAATTAATTGTTTGCAATATTTAAAATCTCTCACATAAATATTTAAATAAATAATTAAATATAGAATCAATTATTAATCCAAAAAACAAGTAAAATGCGGAGAAATGTAATAAATAAATAAGTAAATAAAATAAATGTAATTAATAAAATTTAATTATCCAAGTATTTTTATTTAAGTTAGTTAATATTTTTATTTAATTTTATTTTAATCCAAATGATTTTGCATTAAAATTGTAAATTAAACAAATAATATTCAAAATTACTTTGCAAATAATAATAAAATGATCAACAATTTATTGAATTCTCTTAAAACATGTAAATGAAGGAATTTATTTAATGTAATGTAAAATATTTTTTAACACCTATTGCAAAAATTTTTGTTATTTCTGAATTAATTTAAAATAAAAACAACAAAAAAAAATTTCTTGGGTTCCTTGCACTTTTTCCCTGTTCTTCACAGTCAGAACCAACCTGTTATTTTATCAAAAATAGTTTTCAATGGTGTGCTGAAAACACAAACTTCCGGTTTAGAATCGGCATTAATCGCCAAAGTTGTTTTAGACTTCTTCTTGTGATCTGTATCCTTTCTTTTGTTGATTGGCTGTGGTAGAGCCTCATTGCTATATGTTTAAATATATTTTTTTATTTACAGGTACCTTCTATTTTCATCTTCTTTTCATTTATCAAAAAGAGAAATTATTTGATAATAAAAAAAACGTGTAAAAAATAATTCGTCTCCTAAATTAATCTACAATCTAAAATTCTAAACAATATTGGCCGTACATAAATTAATTATATACACTTGATATTGTATATCTCAAAAAATAAATAATTAAATAAATAAGTAAATAAATAATTAAATAAATAACTAAATAAATACCTATTAAAATACAAATGTCTAAAATATATTGAATCACATGAATAGGAGAAAAATATGAGAAAAATCACATGCATTTGAGTTCAATTAATTTTTTTCGTTCCTAAAAGCAAAAAAAGGCACAAACAATTGTCTGTACTGGAAAAAAATTCAATTGTCCCACAATTAAATAAATATTTACTTAGTAGAAATAAAATTTTTATTTGAGGCGAAATGTAATTTTACTTCTGGAAAAATTTTTATTTGGGTCAAAATGAAATTCCGCCACTGAGAAAATTTTTATTTGAGCCAAAACATAATTTTACTCTAAAATTTTATTTTGAAAGTAATTTATTTGAGACAATATAAAATTCTACTAATAAAAAAATTTCTATTTGAGCCAAAATAAAATTTTTATTTGAGACAAAATCAAATTTTATTCCTGATAAAATTTTTATTTGAGCCAAAATAAAATTCTACTCCTGACCACATTTTTCTTTGCGCCAAAATAATATTTTTGTACTGAGAAAATTTTTATTTGAGCCAAAATAATATTAATTACTTCTGACAACATTTTTATTCGAGACAAAATAAAATTTTAGTTCAGGAAAAATTTTTATTTGGGCCAAAATAAAATTTTACTCTAGAAAAATTTTTTATTTAAACCAAAATGCAATTTTACTACTGAGAAAATTTCTATTTGAGCCAAAATAAAATTTCACTCCACAGAAAATTTTTATTTGAGCCAAAATAAAATTCAACTCCTGACGAAATTTTTATTTGAAAGAAATTACAAGACTCCTGAGACAAAAATACATTTTTATTTCAATTCAAATAAAATTAAATTTGGTTCAAAAAAGAAATTTTCAAAAAAATTCTCTGGAAATTCGTTTTTCTTTTCTACAAAATTAATGTAAAGAAAAATTTGATCCACTTATTGTCTGCGGGTAAAAATACCAGTAAATAAATATGTAAATAAATAAAATAAAATAAAATCGAATTATGGAGAAAAATAAATTGTGTAAAATTTCCTAATTTAAAAACTTTCCGTACTAAAAATTGCTGTGAATTCTAAAAAAAGAATTGCAACATAAACGTTTAATTGCATTAAAGAATATAAATATATGTGTGTCAGAGAGGGACACGATATTTACATATATATATGAAGGTGTAATACCACTAATATGTATTTGCGATTTTGTACTATATAAATAGACAATTCGATGCGCATATATCAGTTAAAAACAGCATTACGGAGCCAGTTGAGCATTTTCACGTGTTCGTCAACGTGAATCTTTCTTTCGAAATTCTGGTATACGTGATTCCATGCTTGCAATCTTACTATGTTATATAAAACGGATAAATTAAAAATGGCTATAATAAAAAAAAAAGAAACAAATAATAATATCGAATACGATATTAAAAATAATTTTCATGTCAGTCGTTAAATCCATTTACCAATTTAACCATTTGTGTCTAAATAAAATTCTCTTTAATAATGCAAAAAAACGATGACAAATAGCAATGGATACAAAAATAAAATATATATGACGTATGAAAATATTTACCTATTGTAAAAATAAAAATTTGTATTTATCTTCAATTTTTTTTTCCTAGTCAAATAAATACAATTTTGTACTATTTCCGAACGGTTAAAAAATAGAATAAAAAATATATTTAAAAAAATTATTTAGAATTCTTTTTTTTTTGATAAATAAATACAATTTTGCATTATTTCTAAATAGATAAAAAAAATATAAAGCAAAACGTATTTAAATTAAAACTTTCAAAAAATTATTTAAAAGAATTTTTTTTGTAAACAAATAAATACAATTTTGCATTATTTCCAGACGGATAAATAATATAAAACAAAACATTTAATTAATGGAAGAAAATATATATTTAAATGGAAAATTTCAAAGAAAATTTCTATGAATATTTGTAGAAATTATAATTATTAGAAATATGTCAATATAATTAAACTAATTCTCCAATTTCTATCTACAATTATAATAAATTAATAATTTGAATAATGGCCATTAATTAACTTTAGCTCGATTTTTAAGCAAAGTAAACTTAATGTCTTTATCGTTGATTACTAACTGCGGTAAATGTTCGACCTCAGTATTAATTATTACATAATAAAATTCATAAAAGATATACTTCCACGTGTAGAATTTCAAAACTATTTTTAATTACAAATTATCGCTTTTCATAAAAAGAAAAAATTTATTTACTTTTTTTTCTATAAATAATGATTAATTTTAATATATTCAATAATTCTATAACTATAAATAATTGTTATTGTCAATTTTAAAGAAATTTATACGTATATAATTATAATTTTGTTTACAATTTAATTTAGATACAAATTCTTCGAATTTAATTAATTAAAAATTTATCCATTTTCTTCCTCATGGTATTTTCTAATTTTTTGGCAAAATATTAAAAATTTTGTCAAATAATAAATATTGATGCGTTTTATAATATTTATAATACAATTTCTCTCTCGTTTTTTTATCACACATTTTTCTCGTTAACTGCCTCGTGAGAGCAATCTTATATCAATTTTATTATTTCTTTTCGATCAATAAAAAAAAATTTTCGGATCTAATTTAAAAGGTTTCCTTAAGAATCCAAAAAAATTTGCGTACGTCATAGTATTTTAGTATTTAGCATTTTTTGAATAAATTATTGTCAGTCAGGTGTAAAACAAAAATTAATGACAAAAATTATTTTTGAATACAAAATGCTGGTTTTTGTTTATTTTTATTTACAAAATTTTTAGTAATTTCTGTGAAAGAGTTTTTATTTGACAAATTTGTGAAACTAAATATCAAAATTATCAAATTTAATTGTCAAATTATTAAATTTAATTATCAAATTTGCTAAATTATCATTTTGATAATGGCACAATGAAATTTAGTACAATTTGACAATTTGACAATCGAATTATGAAATTTAACTGTCAAATTATCAAATTTACTAAATTATCATCTAGTTAATTGAATTTAATTATTAAACTATGAAATATTTAATAAATATTTAAATTAAAAATTAAATTAAATATCAAATTAAACTATTTCAAAAATAGCAGATTAATATTTAAATATATTCGCAATAATCGATTTTTACACAATCCATTAATATCCTAATAAATATTTTAGTAATTACTTATTAAAATTATATTTTTTAAAATTTGTTATAAATTAAAATGTCCTTTTTATGAAAGAAGCCGAATGAAATAAATTCATTCATTACTCTACAAGGTTCTTATCAACAAAAGAAAATATTATTCGACAGAAACCAGTATTTTCGATTCAATATAAATTATAAAAAAAATGAAATGTTTGAAAAGTGTAAAAATTTACGCGAAAAGAATTATTTGACTTCAACTGATAATATTTTTCTCTATCAAATGTGATCAACAATATATATAGATATTAGTCTCATAAAAGAAAATAAATAAGAAAACATTAATTTTTATCGTTTTTGACTCGAAAAATTTCTTTTTACCAAAAATTTTATTGAATAAAAGTAATTAAATGATAATTTACCTAGATCCAAAATTGGATGGTAGCTCACTGCCATAGCCATAACTTCCCGAGCCGTTACTATTTTTCGATTTTGAACAATCATTGCTGAAAAAAAGAAAATTCAATTAGAATACATTTTTTTTATTCTATAATAAAAAAATGATTAAAACGAATTAAAACTAAAAGCAGAATATCTAACTGAAAAAAATTGGCGCGAATGGAAAACAGTTTTCTAGAATAATTCCTTCGAAATGTTTCTAAAACGTATTAATATGTTGTCTTGTTTTCAGGAAAGAAAAACAAAAAATTTTTCCTCTTATGTGGAAAAAGAAAGAAAAAAAAATAATATTCGTTTCATAACAAAACAAATCGAGAGTTTCATTTTCTAGTTTTTAAAAATTAATTTCATAAATTCTTATATGTAGTATAATATTTTTAATATATAAAAATTAATAAAATGAAAAATTTTATAAAAATCCCTGACGCTATTGACAATTGAATGCACGTGTTACAGGTGGCACATGGAAGGGGTTACAACATGCATACTTAAATGTCTTATTTATCTTATTTCACGTGTTCTTGAAACGTGACTAAAAAGCATGTGCCCCATGAGATACGTAAAGTCCTTTTTCCCTAGTAACATTGAAAATTTAATACATGTCCTAATAGGTAATAGTTATTTTTTTTACTCTTCAATTCTATATACTGAAATTAATGATTCTTCTTCTTTTATTTTTAAAAAAATTGATTGACGTAGAAGCAATGTGAAACTGATGATTGTATAACTAACGTGTTTTATATGAATCCTGTAGATCCTTTATTTGCACGTTTTGTACCCCATGACTACTTACGTATAGTTAGTTCTTTATATAGAAAAGAAGGAAAAAATTAACTGGGACAATTTTTTTTTATTTTTTAGCATTTCTTTGATTAAATTTTAATTATTTAATTTATAAATATAGCAATAAAAATATTAATTTTTTTACAGGAAATATAAATCTATAATTATGTCTTTTTTAATATTATAATTTAATTCTGTTTTGATTTAATTCATAATTTATTATTCAATTTTTATTAATTGCAATATCACTGGCAATAAATCGTAATCAAACGAAATTAACAAAAATTTTTAGTAATTTATTAATAAATCCTGTTATTAATATTTTTTTCTATTATTATTTTTACTATTATTATTATTATTATTATTATTATTATTATTTCCACTATTGTTATTAATCAAATATTTAGTAATAATTATAAATATTACTGACTCCTTTTTTCTATTGTTATTATTATTATCGATCAAATTTATCTTTCAATTGAATGAAACTAATTATTATTTTATTATTAATCAGTCCAGAGATATTTATAATTGTTAATAAAAATAATATTGTAACAATTTTAAATATCGCAGGACTGATTAATAATAAAATAACAATTAGAATCATTCAATTGAAAGGTAAATTTGATCGATTGTTTGGGTCAATAAAATTTCTGTTAGATAATTATATATACGATGTATATATAATATAAAATATTATATAATAAATAATTAATAAACAAATAATATTTTTTAGTAACGAAATCTAATTTTTTTCCTGCTTTTAGGATATTATAACTACGTTAAACTTGGATTTGAATGAAAATTTCTTTTTTTAGAAATAAAACAAGACAACATGCAATTATTTGCTATACAGTTGAACATCTATTATTGTAATGATTAGTTTGATTCACAATTGAGATATTATGTAAGATTACAATATTACATAATAAATAATAAATATAAAATGATAAAGAAATCTATGAATTATTTAAGTCTCGTACTATTTTCTTTCATTTATAGGGAAAAAATAAAAATAATCATTGGGATTAAATTTGGAAAAGAGAAAATACATTAGAAAAACGTTATTTTTGAAAAAGTGTAAATAAATTTGTAAATAAATATAAATATGAATAAATTTGTAAATAAATATGTATTTTCTCTACTATTTCCTTAAATTAGAAAAATTGATTAAAAAATGAAAACTGAAAAGAAATAATTTATCAAAATTAAATAATTTATTTTAACTATTTAAATAAATTTAATTAACTTATTAATTATTTTACTCTCATACGTGACTTATTTTCCCTTCTTGATAATAAATAAACAAAAAATAAAATTCGTAGTTGACAACTAGTGTTTCGTTATTTATTTATACTTTAAATTAAAAGACAGTCAAGGGTCCCTATTAAAATACGCCGCTTGATATTTTTACCCGAAGGTATTTATTAAAATTCAAATCAATCAAAACGACAATGTATTGTTAACTGAATTATATAAGTTGCTTTCTTTTCCTACGATTTTCAACCCCAAACGATCAAATTAAAGCATACATTTCTTTTAAATCAAAACTCTGAAGTTTTTTGCTTTATTATCTCAAAATCCCCCTCCCCCCAAAAAAAAAGGAAGACAAACAAAAAAAAACAAAAGAAAAGAAAATAAACAAAAATAAACTAAAATAAATTAAAATAAACTGTAATAAACAAAAATAAACGAAAATATATAAAAAAATAAATGAAAATGAATAAAAAAATAAATGAGAATGAATAAAAAATGAATAAAAATAAACGAAAATAAATAAAAAATAAATCAAACTGTGTAAAAAATAAAGAAAAATAAACCAAAAGTAAATAAAAAATAAATGAAAATAAAAAAAGAAAATAAAGAAAAAAAAGAAAAAATATAAAATAACTATAAATAAAAGGAAAACTAGAAAAGAATTCCTATAAATAAAAAAGCATACCTATTCAAAGATCGACTATTGTTGCTACACGAATTTGAATATCCAGAATCGGTGATCTTGGCGTTTTCCGTAGACGTCTCCAAGATGGCAGATTTCGACATTTTCAACTTCCTAAATTAAAAATTCTCCTCGACAAGTAAAGTACGTTCCTTTTTTAAAAAAACGCTTCGCGTTATTATTTAAATCGTTGTTGAAAAAATATTTTCTATAAAATATCACATGTTAATATTTTATTTTACTACCGTCACCGGCAATCGCAAATTTAAAAATTAATCACTTATTTACACCACTCGTACTATAACTATTTTTATGAATCATTTTTTTTTCAATTCTTAATTAACTCATTTTTAAGAATTATACAAAAATTATCTATTCTTTGAGAAAAATAAAATTATTATTTAATTAAATAGTGCACTTTGTTTTTTTTTCTTTAAACAAAAAAAGTATTTCTCTTTAAATTTTATTATCAATGAACCGATCTCATGAAAGGTTTTACTTGAACTGAGCATTTGCAAATGAATTTCCCGCTTCTCACGCAGCAGTACACGTGAGTGAAGAGCCCCTCTCTTTATTTTTGCAGTCTTGTGAATGCAGAATTTGCCCCACTTTAATGATTCTGATAACAATTACTGATCAAAATAGCCTTCGTCACTATTAGGTTTACATTATTCACGTTTTTCATATCTAAATATAATTATATTATTTATAATTATCATACGTGCATGATAAGACAAAAAAAGATGTGAAAAAAATATAAAATACATATATATATACAAAAGTACACGTGAAACGTGGGTTGCGTTTTGACAAAAGGTAATAATAAATGTCCCGATTTGTCCAAAAAGGTATGTAAACTTTGCCATTTATTTACCCTTTGAAATTATACGAATTTTAAACTTTTACTTTCCTATTGATCGAATTTACTTTTATTTATTGATCGAATTTAATTTATCAAATTACGAATTTTAAAGTTTACTCTTTTTATTTACCGATTTCACTAGTTTTTTTTTACTTTCTTTATTTACTAATTTATTTATGAAATTGTTACCATTGTTATTTTTATCTATTATTATTACTTATTATTATTGTTTGAATTATTTTTTATTACTTATTATTAAATACTATTATTTTTACTGTAACTTGTTATTTTTATTATTATTGTCATTATTAGATATTAATATTATTATTATCATTATTTTTGTATAAGTTAGTACCTAAAAATTAATTTAAAATTAACAATTAATTTAAAATTACCTTGAAAGCTTAATGAAAGCTTTATTGTAAAAATTTATGTTCTATTTACAAATCGAGTGTAATTATAAGTAATTTTACTGAATTTGCGATTTGATACCGTGGACTATATACACGAAGATTTTTTTTTTTAAATTATTGAGTTTTAAAGTCAGTATCGAAATCATAATCGTCATTAGTGTTTACGGAAATTTGATCCAGTTGATTTGATAATTGTACAGCTTCTTTTTCTGAATATAATAAAATTGTTTCTTTATAATTTTTGTATTAAAATAATAAAATTATTTATTTCAAAATTGTTGTGAAATGAAAAAAAACTTACCCTTTCTTGCTCGTTCCTTTTTCTCCTTCTTGAATTGCAGTTTCTTTATTTTATTTAAATTCTGATTTCCTTCGATTTCAAACAAGGGATCTGTTTTCTTCTTCTTCTGAGTGGCATTATTCTTCTTCTGAATCGCTTTTGCATCTTTTCTCACTTTCTTCGTTGGCACTATTACTTTCTGTAAATGATTAAAATATAAATAAAACTATAGATTTACTGAGAATGAAATTATTTTCCCTGACAAAATTCTTTTTACAGGAAAATATTTACTAAAAATAAAGGAACTAAAAAATAAAAAATAAAATTACTAAATTAAAGACTAAATTTTGTTTACTATAAATTGATGATCGAGAAAAAAAAGTCTGCAAAATATTGAAATAGGAAATTTTTCGTACCGTTTCCTTTTGATTGTCAACTTCCATTGAAGCCTCAACGGGACCGGAACTGTCGATAATCAACGGATCAATAGCACCAGGTTTTACAGCTTCAGTTTCAAATCCGTCCAACATCATTTTCTCCTCCTCGGCAAAACTATTGATGTCAAATTCCTTCGCCATTTGTGTCACAATTTCAGCCGATAACTGACAAACTGGTTCTTCAGGTGGAACCGTGTAATATCTACAAAAATTTCCATAATTAAAGAAAAGAAAACCAAATTAACGAAGAAATAATTTTTTAAGAAATAATTTTTTTTTTTTTGCAAATTGCCTTATTTTTCCTGAATTCCAATCGGTGAGGACGCTTCTTGCCGCTGCTAACATATCAGGAACTCCTCCTCTCTTGAATCTTCCCATTCGAGCCGCTTTCTTCGTGAAGAATTCCTCAGGAGTTGAAAATTCATGAATATCATAAAGTTCCATAAGTTGGGGAGTTGAAATTCTTTTCAAAATAAGAGAAGCTGGTGTAAACGGATCTTTAATTGATTCAATTTTCACAGCATTCTTCAAAGCAATGGAGGATTGATCATTTTGATCTTTGGAGGGAGCGCTGAATACAATTCCCGGAGAGTCTAGTAATTTGATTTTCGAGTCCAGTTGCACCGCTTGCATTGCCTTCGTCACTCCTGTAATTTTCAGTTAATTTTAATTATTAAAAGAATTTAATTATTTTATTTATTTATTTTTATTATTTTTAATGAAAAATTAAATAAGTTGATTTTAATTTAATTAACTTCAGTAGATATTAATTTTATCAAAGGTGGAAGAAGTTATTACAAACCTGGTGTATTTCCTACATTACAAGCTTTATTTCTTTTCAAAGAATTAATAACACTCGATTTTCCAACATTTGGCAGGCCAACGACACCAACTTGAATACTATGCTTAACTGTTCCACTATTTCTGCAATAATTTCCAAGCAATGAGAGCAATAATTCAGCACCAAAGCAAGTACCACTTTGAATCATACTTTGCTTCTTCTTTCCCAATTTCCGTCTTCCAAGACGATTCGCCTGATCCTGAGTGGAAGATTTAAAAGCAACTGCCGGTAAACTTGCTCTCAAGTATTTTAGCCATTGATCTAAATTTTCCCTCGGTACTAAATCGGCTTTATTTAAAACTATCACCAGTCTTTTATTTCCCTTCGCTGAACGAACTGCTTCCTCAACTTGTTTACATCTCGTTCCTAATGGATCGCGTGCGTCAACAACTTCAAGAATCACATCAGCAGATTCCAGGACTTTTTTGAATTCCTTATAGTAAGCTTTCAAGGAGTTCTCCTCCTTTAACACAAGACCTCTACTATCTTTACTATTAGAGGAGAGTAAATTTTCAAATTCAATTTGTTTCTTTTCAGCGTCAGAAACTATTCCCTGTAAACCACCACTGGCGAGTTTTTCCTTTTTCTTTTCTTTAGCCAATTCACGTTGCTTTTGCTTTTCTTCCTCTCGTTGTTGCTTCAAGATTTCGACTTCCTTCATTATCTCTTCTTTGAAGGGACATTGATTCGGTATTTGCATTAACTTTTGCTTTTCTGAAATTAAATTCCGTTTGTAGTGCATAATTGTATGGAATCGGGTAGATATTTTTTAATTGTAGTGTATATTTTTGTAATTTATTCAATTTGTTATATTCATTTTTTAAATATTGTTTATCGAATACATTCCTTAAAACTTAGGCTGTGTCTTTAAAAACTCACTTTTCGGATGCTTTTTTGCCTCTTTCTTTTGCTTTCGATTATGTTCCCGAACTTTCTTTTCGATCTTATAACGTTTACGAGCTTCGATACGTTTAGTAGGCTTTTCTGAAATAAAAAAATGAAATTTATAATCATATCTTTATAACAATTATAGAAGTTATTCAGAAAAAATTAATGATTTACGTTTGTTAATATTTAAATATCAAAACTGCACCACAGAAATCACAAGGATCACAAGTAAACAGTATTTTCTACATAACCTCAAAACAATCACACTTTCCAAAATTCATAAGTATATATTTAGAAACAATAATTAATTTTTAATTAATGTACATTAATATTCACGGCGTATAAATTTTACCATTTTTTTTATAAATATATAATTGAAAGAATACAACATAACCTAGAAAAAAAACAGAAAGAGAAATAATACTCATAAAATTGAATTTTTTTACTTACTCAAACAAAATTTGGCCATTTTATAAAATCAAAAACTCAACAAATAAAAAAATCAACTTTAAAACTTGTTTTATAGTATTTTTAAACAAAATAAATGGATAAATATTATATCCACGTGCTACGTGCTGTTTTTTTAATCGAAAATTTCAAGTTTTGGCGAGACAACTTTGGTCAAGTTCCGTTCGTTTCCTTATTCACTTTTCCAACTTCCGGCTTTAATTGAGCAGAACCAATCAAAATTGACTAAAACAGCGAAACGAGGTCGTTCCTTTATTTTTTTACGATTTTCAAAATTTTGAATTTTGATTGTAAAATGAAGTTGTTTTCTAAAAATACAATCTATAAATTCGATTCATATAGACTAAAAAAAGTAAAATAATTAAGTCAAAATTTTTTCTGGGGTTACTTTTTAATTACAGAAAATACAATGTAATCTAATGAGATTTAATTAGCAATCAAAATGGTGAAAGGCATATTTTATGCATATGAGAGGATTCTCAGACTTTCTTTCGTTGCACAAAAAAAAAGTGCCGAGAAGAATGAATGCACTATAAGGGTAAAATAGAAATTTTTCTCTAACTTTTCGTATAAAATTTTACGCATCGAGAGCATTTTATAATTAAAAAGTAAAACACAAATTTCACTAGTCTCGTGTTCTCTTGCTCTTCTTTTTCTTTTACTTAAAGCATCATTTCTCATTTTACATAAATCAACTTTTTATTTGTCAATTAAAATTTAAAATAAAAATAAACAAACTATTTTGATTTGTTTGGTGGGGGTGGTGAGCAGTGGTGAGGTTAGTTTGGGGTATTGAAGCAAGAGGGCGCAACGATAAGAAGAGCTTATTCATTGCTGTAATGGCCGCCGTCTGGCGTTGTCGGTGAATTGTCTATCGTTCTTATTATATGATTAATAAAAATAATAAAAGTGGGAGATACCGCTTTATCACTTTACGTAAATCCAGTTCGATTCAATATTTACCGAAAGTGGAAAGTGTTCGCTAGTGTGTATTAAATCTAAACGTGTTTATAACGAAAAAATTTTTGTCAACTAAAACTCACTTTATTCATTGGACGGAAATTCATTTATTTCTGCGTGTTTATTTGATTCAGTGCGAGTGTATTGTAAACTTGAGAAGAAAAGTTTTCATTTTTTTTCATCTTTGTGCTTTTTATATTAAAATAATTCGTCTATAATAAATGTGTGTGGGGGGGAAAAAATAGTCACAGTAAATGTTACTAGTTCGATAAGAGATTTATTATAGTTTCGATTTTTGGTTGGTAAACAAAAGTGACAGGAGAGAATTATTGTTTCACAGTGCTTCGTCAATTAAAAAATCTTCATTGGATTTGGATAAATAAAAGTGTTCTCTTTAACAGGTTAGTATTTTTTTTATTCAAGGTCATGGAAATCTTATTAGGAACTTATTAACGTTTCGTTTTAGAGACGTTTGGATTTAAAAATAGTTTCTATAATTCGAATGATTTTTTTTTATTTTGGCAGTGGTGAGATTTATTTTTTAGAATTAGACTTCATTTATAGCGTAATTATTATTATTTTCTATATTCCACCTTTGTTTACACGTAGATGAACACAGTTGGATTTAATTTGCAAATAGTTAAAGATACGATTGTAAAGTTAAGCTTTTAATTTCAGGTGATTTAAGGTACAATTCTTTATCGAGTTATCAAAAGTTTATTTGAAAATCACCTTTTAATTATATTTTTATCTTGTTTATTGTGGTTTATTATTGAGAAATTTCTGTATCTTTTTTTATAGAATTACTATAATTTAGACAGAAACTGTTAGATTAGATTATCAGTAAACAATTAGAAACCTTTTTTTAAGTTCTATTTTTTGTTCTTTTTTCAGAATTAGAAGAATTCAAGATTCGAAATTAGAGAAGACTTGTTTTTTATTCTAAAAAAAAATGAGGAGGAATGAAGATGTGCCAAATTTAGTGTCAAATATTCAATTTTTTCCGATAGTTATCATATAATGAAATTAATGAAGTTAATGAAATTAATACTAAAAAGGAAAAGTAGCCAAAGAACAATAAATCCGTTAAATATCTTCCAAAAGTTGACCAGAGTGCGCTTAGAATGATATTCATTCCAGGAATATCACTGCCAAGACTTTCACCAATATCCGAACAAAATTTAGAAAATCTTCAACATCAAATAATAAAAAGCAGATCAAATAATCGACGAATTGTGTGATTTTCTTTTCTTTTTCGAAATTATTTTTTGTTTTTGAAATTCGAGCATGTTTGGTAAAGTGCCTCCATCGAATACACCAGGTCCACCAATCCTCACAACAAAAGCATTAGGAAAATCATCAGGCACATCATGTTTGCCTTGTTTCTCATCCGAGGAAGGACCTGCCACTTGCATTGAAGATAAACAAAAATCTTGGCGAGCACAAAATTCAGAGACAATTCTCACCAACATACCGTGTGATATTCAGCCTTCCAGTAATTTATCAACAGAAATTTCACGACCCCATAGAACAGAAGCAATAAATATGTGTCTAAAAAGTTCTCCAGCGTGTGCCAACGCAAAAACTCCCTCCAAAGAGTCGAGAAAAAATTTCTCAAGTCCAAAAGTCATCTCATCAACAACATCCACAAATGTTCATCGATGTTCCTCAAATCCCAATTGTCCTAGTGTATCAAAATATTACAATGGTGCTTCCAAAACGTCCAAAAATTCATCCTCTTCATTTTCAAATTTGGTCTGCCTAAATAGTGAAACTCTAACAAAATTAAACAGAAAATCATCGATGCCAAATCATGAATTCTCCGATGATGAGGATATATTGACAATTAGCGATAATCAATTAGTTAATAGAGAACAATCAAGAATCGTTCCACCTCCAGTTGCCAAGTCAACCCCAAATAGATCTTCCGAAATTGATTCAAACAATGATCATTTAAGTATCGATAGCATTCAACAAGTAACCCGTGATCTTTCAACAATATTATCACCAGTTTATGATGTTATTACTGAATCTCATCGTAATAATCGTAAAATTAAATCATCAATTGATTCCATTAATTTTCAAGCTCTTCCAAATTCAAGTACCTGTATGGAAAAAATTGATTTTACCAAATTATCATCATCATCAACATCATCGAAAATGTCTGATACTGATAATAGAAAAAATTGTACGAATTTTACACGTGAATTACCAACGGAATTACAATCGAGTCCAAGGAGTTACAAGGATCGTGAAAAATGTCGTGATCCATGGAGACCAACGGAAATGGAAGGAACAATTTCAAATTTAAACATTTACTCAGGTGATGCTTCACAGGAATCTGGTAGTAAGAGAAGAACTGGAGCATCATGTCAAGCATTGAGGCATGCCGTTGCGTCTTTAAATCGTCTCGATGACTTCTACATGGAGAAAATTGGCTCTGGATTCTTCTCTGAAGTTTTCAAGGTATTTATATTTTTTATTTTTTATTTTCTACTTTTCAGATTTGTATTCTTTTCCGTATATTTTTTTTATACTTTTCGAATTTATTTTCTTATTCGTTTATACTTTTTAATTTAATTCCCACTTTTTTTTTAGAATTTTATACTTCGAAAAGTACAAAATTATAAAGAATAATATCAGAGTTGCCACAGGTCAGGAAATTCAGGGAAAAATCAGGAAAAGTAAAATTTGTCAAGAAAATCAGGAAAAAGTCAGGAAATTTTATCAAAAATACTGGAAACGTATTAAATTTCTAGAATTCATAAGAAAATTCTGAATTTTGTTGCCTTAAAAAAAATAAATTTGGCTTCAAGTTCTTTCTATTTCTATAACAATAATTGAACTTTATAGAATTGATATAAAATTTATTTTAAATAATTTAATTATTAAAGAACTATCATAAACTTTATTATTCAGCGAATAATTTTACTCAAAATTAAAAAAATAATTAACTTTATAAAATATAGAAATTATAAATTTTTGACGGGAATTCAATTAAATTTAGAAAAAATTTAATACAATTATTCACAAGAATTCAATTACTTTCAAAAGAAATATAATTCTTCTCAGGAATTCAATTATTTTTAAATTTTCAATAAAATTCGGTGCAAGAATTCAATTATATTCTTCATAAATAATAAAAATCATCGCAGGATTTCAATTATTTTTAATACAATTTCAAATAAAATTTAATGCAATAAATTTTTTTCTAAAATATTAATAAAATTCTTTTTGGAAATTGATTAAAAAAGAAAGTTTTAAGACAATTCTACGCAAAAAATCAATTATTTTCATAAATAATTAAATTCTTTAGATAAATTCAATTATTTTGAATATCATTTTAATAAAATTCTTTCGCAGAAATTGGATTATTTTCATAAATAATTTAATTCTTTAGAGGAATTTTCAATTATTATCAAAAATATTTATAAAATTCTTTAAAAGAGTTTAATTATTGTCAATCCAATTATAATTGATTTCCTCGAAATAATTAATTATTTTCAATATTTTTATAAAAATCTTTGCAGGAATTTGATTATTTTCTTAAATAGAAAAATTCTCTGCAAAAATTCAATTATTTTCAATAATTAAATTTCTTAAACGACTTGAATTATTTTCTATAAATTTTAATATAATATTCTATATATAAGAATTCAATTATTTTCAATACAGTTTTAATTAAATTCGTCGAAAGAATTGGCAAGAAAGTCAATTATTTTCGTAAATATTAAAATTCTTTGCAGGATTTCAATTATAATAAAATTTCTCGAAAGAATTCCATTTTTTAAAAATTTTAATAAATTCTTCCTAAGAATTGAATTATTTTCGTAAATAATTACATTCTTTAGATTGAATTCAATTATTTTGAATACAATTATTGTATTCCTCGAAAAAATTTAATTATTTTCCAAAAATTTCCAGAAAATTCTTTAAAATAATTCCATTTTTTTTAATTTTAATAAAATTCTATACTAGAGTTGAATTATTTTAGATTCAAATTTATAATAAAGTTACAAAAAAATTACTTTTTTTTCATTTAATAAATAATTGAGTTCTCAAGAAACTTTCTCAAAAATTATTAAAAATAATAGATGAATTTTACTTAAAAATTCTAGAGACGAATTTAAATATTGAAAATAATTTTAGAGAATTTAGATTAAAATAAAATATTCTTTTGAGTTAGCAAAACGTGAGGGAAAAATGAATTAAAATTTTTGTGGCAACCCTGAATAGAAAAATAAAAAATACGAAAAAATTTTTGTATTCGAAAAGTTTAAATATTTATCCGCCTAATAATAATAATTCTTTTTCTCTTGCATTTTTTAGCATAGATTTCATTAACAAATTGAGGTGTATATAAAAATTTATGACTGAAACCTGTTAAGTCATTTTTTAAAATTGGAATTTCAGAGTGGAAAAATCTTATCTTGGGAGTACAGTTTAATATCGTCGAAGATAAGATAAAATACTGAATTGCTTTTTCATAAATTCGTCCCATGTGTATGTGGCTAATTATTTTCATAAGGGACGACACCAGAAAATTTGCATCGAAGTATTTTTATTTGCGTCTTGGAAATTATGCAATTTAATGTTATTGTAGACAGAACTTGAAAGAAGCCTCTCTCTCTCTGTGTCTCTCTCGAGCAATTGCCCAATTTTTCAAAAACTCGATTTGAAAAAAAATCCTTGTTCTTTCGTTTAAATGGCGCCATGTCTTGTTGCAACATGCGAATACTCGCTATATTCAAACTCTCTGTCACAAGTTCGTTACGTAAATCACATTCTTCCGACTCGTTGAATCTCGTTACACCTGATTCGAAAAATGACCTTTGTGAAATGTTTTTATCTTCATCGTTTAGAAAAAAAACAATCTTCGTCCTCTTCAAAAAAAAAAAGAAAAAGCATTCAATTTTCAATGGAATAGGATTCTTTCGTCAATTTAAAGACAAATTAAATTTAATTTATATTGAATACTAATTAACTATTAATTTAATTTTAATTTAACTGAAAGGCAAAAAAAAATGTTGGCTATAAATAATAATTGAATTATGATATAAAAGGAAAATTGAAAAAGAAAAGGAATGGAAAGGAAAAAAAGAATTGAAGAAAGAAAAAACATTGCAAAAGGAAAGGGAATGGAAAAGAAAAAAAGGAACTGAAGGAAGAAACAAAAAATTGAAAAAGAAAAGGAATGGGAATGGAAAAGAAAAAAGGAATTGAAGGAAAAAAAGAAAAATTGAAAAAGAAAAGGAAAAAATCCCAACGAAAATTATTTACAATTTTCGTTGGGAATTTTTCCTTTTCTTTTTCAATTTTTCTTTTGGGAATTATTTTACGAATTAAAAAAAGACTTGGTAAAAAGAAAAAAATTCTGGAGGTAAAAAATTATTTTCTTCTAAAGATAATTTTTTTATCTGATTTTTTCAGTAATAATCAATTAACTTACATCTAATGGAATTTGTATAGTAATTATTAATATTTCATTCTTGACGTGCAGATCTTTTTTTCTGTCACTTATTCACGTTAGTTTTTATTTGAAAAAAAAAATCTCATCCAATAGAAAACAAAATGTTTACGATGTTTGCGGTAATAAAAACTTCCTTTCCTAAAGGAATTTAATATTGATAGTGGTAATATAAAACTAATTTTATGATTTATTTAATAGGTCATGAATTTTTATGTTAAAAAAAACTCGTACTTTTATTGAGAATTATAGTTAAATTTTATTTTATTTTATGTCAAAAACAAGTGAAGCAGATTTTTTTTCGAATAAAAGTCCCTTAAACGTTACGAATTTTACTCGAAATAAAATTGCTTTTTATCATTATTTTTATAAATATTAATAATTATATTGAATATTTATAATTATTTTATATTTATAATTAAATATTAATATTAATATTAATATTAAATAATTAAAATATTTTATATTTATAAATATTTATAATTATTTTATGTTTATAATTAATTACGATTATAAATATTTATATTTATAATTATTTATATTTATAAAAATTATAATTGTTTTATAATTATTTTATAAATGTTTATAAATATTTTATAATTATTCCAAAATGTAAAAATAATGCAAAATTGATATTAAATTTGATTTTATTAGATTCAATTAACATTGGCCTCGATCGTTTATTAATTATTATTTTTTTTTTTGCCAAGATTGTTGATGTCAGCAAAGATTCTTCGATAAAGTTTTTTTTTTCTTTCTTACCAAGTCTCTTAATCTTCCTGTAAAAAGTATATTACCTTGATCTTTACTATGTTCTTTTCCTGTTTGTCAATTAATTTAGTCGCGACAAATTACGAAGTAATTAATTATTTCGAAATTCTACTCAATTTTTCTTTTTGTGTATATTTTGGAAAAAAAGTTGTATTTTTCGTTTGTTTTTAGATCGAAAATCAAGTGGGTTAAGAGATAAGTAAATTCCTTTTTTTCCATTTTGATTAAGTGATTTAAGGAGAAATTAATTTTACAAATTAAATGTTTTTTTTTAATTCACTTGACGTGTATTCCTTGACGGATATATCAATCTATAAGCAATTGGATGACACCAGGAACCTTGACAAGTTTATCGCCAAGGGACATAATTAGGTCAACAAGAAATTAACTTTTGCAGTGAAAGTGGCAATTTCGAAATTCCAATTACTTGAGGCAATAGATATTTGATTTTTAGGAATTTTTACGGTTTCGAATCTTTTTTTATTCCTTTTTTTACTTTTTTATTCAATTTTTTTTATTTTATCCAATTTTAAATATTTTATTAAATTTGAACTTTTTTATTCCTTTTTTATTCAATTTTTTAATTTTCTATTCCTTTTTTACTTTTTTTTATTCTTTTGTTTACTTTTTTATTTATTTTTTAATTTTATTCCCGTTTTATTTTTTAAATTCTTTTTTCTACTTATTGGATTCTTTTTCTATGAAAAAAAATATTTCGCTATAAATATTTTGATAAAAAATATTTTAGACGGAAAAAAATAAAAATTTGACAAGAAGAATAAAACATTTTGATATTTTCGAAATTTTCAATTTTGAAAATTGAAAATTCTAAATTCAGAATTGAAAATAAACAATAGAAAATTGTAAATTCAGAATTGAAAATAAAAAATAGAAAATTGAAATTTAAAAATTAAAGCCAATTAAAAACAGGGGAAAATTGAGACATAATTTTTTTTACGCCTTTAAATTGAATGACTTTATAAATAAATGCACGATTGATTGTTTTGAACGTCAATGAACTTATAATTGAACGACCTTATACTAAAATTGGATCTGACCGAAATTCTTTATTCCTTAACTGGTATATTGTCGTCTCTTTCTTATCTCTCGATTATGTATTTCTTATGTTGTCTATTTTTGTTGACTAAAGGTCAGTTCAAATGGAGTGCAGATTTATATTCTCTTTTTTTAAAAATATTCTTTCATAAAGGTGTGAAATATTTCACGT